TTCTGCAGATCACTTACCTGTTCTCACTCTGCATCTCTCACCAACAGTGGTGAATTTTGAAATACTAGCTCAGAATAACAGCCCCCGCCCACAAGGAAAGCTCCAAAATGGAAGCAGCTTTGTCAAACATTATATACATGCGTGCACGGTAAACATACAAAGCATTAGACCCAGCTGCTCAGAATTGGTATGATTGTGCATAGTTACCTAAGAGTAAGCTGCACAGAAGTTAGCCATGCTTGCTTCTGACTGGCTACATTTGCAAAACACACACTGAGCTGCAACGAAAAGGTCTTCAGCCAGCTGAAATGCATGTAGCCTGTAGTTATTCATTGGAACCACAGACTAACTTCAAAAAAGAAAAGCAAACTTGAAAGCCTCCTTATTCACTTGCCAGAGCGGTTTCCCTGACACTTAAGACAGTTGACATCATTGACTTCACTCCTGCTCTGAAAAAAGTCCCAGAGCTGTGCTCCCCCTAAATTTTCACAACTACACCATTGCTTGTCAATCAATATCATGGAGATGACCTTGAGGGTAAGTATGGGAAGGGGGGGACAGTGCCTCTGTCTACTTTATCCACAGTATGCATAATTATGTTGTTGTTGTTTAGTTGTTTAGTCGTGTCCGACTCTTCGTGACTCCATGGACCAGAGCACGCCAGGCACTTCTGTCTTCCACTGCCTCCCGCAGTTTGGTCAGACTCATGTTTGTAGCTTCGAAGACACTATCCAACCATCTCGTCCTCTGTCGTCCCCTTCTCCTTGTGCCCTCTAGAGTGACTAGTGGGGTGCCACAGGGTTCTGTCTTGGGCCCGGTCTTATTCAACATCTTTATCAACGACTTGGATGATGGACTCAAGGGCATCCTGATCAAATTTGCAGATGACACCAAATTGGGAGGGGTGGCTAACACCCCAGAGGACAGGATCACACTTCAAAACGACCTTGACAGATTAGAAAACTGGGCCAAAACAAACAAGATGAATTTTAACAGGGAGAAATGTAAAGTATTGCACTTGGGCAAAAAAATGAGAGGCACAAATACAAGATGGGTGACACCTGGCTTGAGAGCAGTACATGTGAAAAGGATCTAGGAGTCTTGGCTGACCACAAACTTGACATGAGCCAACAGTGTGACGCGGCAGCTAAAAAGCCAATGCAATTCTGGGCTGCATCAATAGGAGTATAGCATCTAGATCAAGGGAAGTAATAGTGCCACTGTATTCTGCTCTGGTCAGACCTCACCTGGAGTACTGTGTCCAGTTCTGGGCACCACAGTTCAAGAAGGACATTGACAAACTGGAACGTGTCCAGAGGAGGGCAACCAAAATGGTCAAAGGCCTGGAAACGATGCCTTATGAGGAACGGCTAGGGAGCTGGGCATGTTTAGCCTGGAGAAGAGGAGGTTAAGGGGTGATATGATAGCCATGTTCAAATATATAAAAGGATGTCACATAGAGGAGGGAGAAAGGTTGTTTTCTGCTGCTCCAGAGAAGCGGACACGGAGCAATGGATCCAAACTACAAGAAAGAAGATTCCACCTAAACATTAGGAAGAACTTCCTGACAGTAAGAGCTGTTCGACAGTGGAATTTGCTGCCAAGGAGTGTGGTGGAGTCTCCTTCTTTGGAGGTCTTTAAGCAGAGGCTCGACAACCATATGTCAGGAGTGCTCTGATGGTGTTTCCTGCTTGGCAGGGGGTTGGACTCGATGGCCCTTGTGGTCTCTTCCAACTCTATGATTCTATGATTCTATGATTCTATCTTTCCCAACATCAGGGTCTTTTCCAAGGAGTCTTCTCTTCTCATGAGGTGGCCAAAGTATTGGAGCCTCAGCTTCAGGATCTGTCCTTCCAGTGAGCACTCAGGGCTGATTTCCTTAAGAATGGATACGTTTGATCTTCTTGCAGTCCATGGGACTCTCAAGAGTCTCCTCCAGCACCATAATTCAAAAGCATCAATTCTTCGGCGATCAGCCTTCTTTATGGTCCAGCTCTCACTTCCATACATCACTAATGCATAATTATATAACCCTCTTAATTCATGTTCTACCCCCCACCTCAACCTCAGTCAACCACAAATGTGCTAAAGTTTTCCTTGCAGGAAAGCTGCCACAGTGTTTGCTGCCCTTCTATGCATCCTTTTTGAGATGCTTCAGTAAAAGTGTGCTAAGGAGTGTTTCCCACTGGTGCCAACCCTTCTGATCAATTCGATGGTGGGAAAGTGGCCTGAATTGACTGCAGCTGTGAACACACACATCTGGCCACACCCACCACAGGGCACAGACTCACAAATCACTAATCACTTTTATTACATCACTGAAAAGCCAAGGTAAAACACAAACCTGTAAATTGCGCGCGCACGCACACACAGAAAATTTGGACTTTTACTGTATAAGACTAGGTTTTTTTCCTAAAAAATAATATCAAAATTTAGGGGGCCTCTTATACACAGATAGTGCTGAATGTGGACTGGCGATTGGTTGTTGCCGCAAAAATAGGGGGCGTTTTATACATGGGGGCATCTTATAGATGGGAAAATATGGTACATGGGGAAATAGGGAGCTGCCTTTTGCTCAGTCCATCTAGCTCAGTGTTGCCTACACTGACTGGGAGCCGCTCTCCAGGGTTCCAGACCTTCCTTCCTTCCTTCCTTTCTTTCTTTCTTTCTTTCTTTCTTTCTTTCTTTCTTTCTTTCTTTCTTTCTTTCTTTCTTCTGGGACCTTCTGCATGCAGCCAAGATGCTCTGCCAGAGAATTTCCCTTTAACTAATCTAATAATGTAAGAGCTTGGCTGCTGAATCGGACCACAGGTCCACCCAGCCCAGCATCCTGTTCTCACAGTGAGCCAGATGACTGTGGGAAGCCTGCACACAAGACAGGAGCATGACAGAGCTCTCCATACCCTCCAACATTCCTCAGATGAAAATAGGGGCATTTCTCACTCCCCGCCCCAACTCACCCTCCTCAACTCCGCAGCAGCGGTCAGGGAGAGGCTACAGGATGCTCCCCCACAGCTGCCACCATTGTCGCTTGGGACAAGCATTGGCTCATCCTCCTCTCTGAGCTTGGCAGCAGCGGTGCTGGCTGGGGGAAAAGGGCATTTCAGGATCAAATCAGAAGCCAGGGTGGCTTTTGTAATTCTGGGACTGTCCCTGGAAAACCAGGACACTTGGAGGGTATGCTTTCGATTGTTCTCCAAGATGTGGAGAGGAGGAAAAAGGAAAACTGGGACATTCCAGGATCAAATCAGAAACCGGGATGGCTTCTGTAATTCTGGAACTGTCCCCGGAAAATTGGGGCACTTGGCGAATATGAACTCTTTCCGCTTGTGATTCTGAGTAACTGGTATTCAGAGGCATTACTGCTTCCAATTGTAGAGATGGCGCATGCTATAGAGCCACATTGATTCTGCAGCGCCACCTTCAGGCGCCAAAAATAAATTGCCCTGGAAAATTAAGCCACACTTAAGTAGTTAATCCCTTTGTCCCAAGGAACTCTGGGAATTATAGCTCTGAGAGGGGAATAGGGGGTCTCCTATCAGCTCTCAGCACCCTTAACAAACAACAGTTCCCAGGAATATTTGGGGGAAGCCATGACTGTTTCAAGTGCTATCATAATGCTTTGAAAGAATGGTGTGGGTGTGGCTAAGCAGCCTCTTGCCCAATACTGGAGGTAGCTATTGATAACCTCCTCCTATATGAATTTGTTTATCTTCTTTTAAAGCCTTTTTGGCCACCATTACCTCTTGTGGGAGAGAATGTCAAAGTTTTAACTATGCACTGTGTGACTAAGGACTTAAAAAGAATCTTGTGGGTCATGTCCGTGAGCCATCTAATCTAGCATCCTGTTTTCACAGTTGCCAACCAGATGCCCCAATGGGAAACTCACAAGCAGGACCTTAAAGCAACAGCACTCTTCCCCACTTGGGATTCCCAGTAAACAGCCCCCAGAGGCATACTGCCTCCAACAGAGGATGTAGCCATGATGGCTCATAGCTGCTGATAGCTTTATCCTCCCGAGTATGTTATTTACAACAGGTAGCCAACATTACGCACAGGTAAACATTGGGCATATGGAGAGCTAAGTTGCATTTTGCTACAACTGCCAAGGTCCACTAACTCAGAGATGGGCAGATCCCTGGATTATTTGCAATAGATAGATTTCTGACACTCAATTGTTCAAAAAGGATAGCAAGAATATGATACACAGGGACTTAAATCAGATTGCTGAAATGAAGAAAACATGGGTTAACCAATAAAGGATAGTTGTATGGCAGGTGTGTGAGTTCAGCTCAGTTCTGGTATTTGGAAAAAAAAATGTCTGGGTTTAGGAACTGCTTGGTAGCACCACATTCTTTTAATTTTACGCTCTGCTCTTTGCACCTGGTTCCTGTGTGGTGTAACGAAAAGTGTGTTGGACTGTGATCTGGAAGACCAGAGTTTGAATCCCTCCTGAGTCATGAAGTTCATTGGGTGACACTGTCTCTCAGCCTAATCTGCCTCACAAGGTTGTTCTGAAGAAAAAGTGAGGAGGGGAAAACCATGTACACCACCTTGAGGTCCTTGGAGGAACAGGTGGTATAGAAATGTAATAAATGAATAAATAACCTCAGGGATCTAGCAAAAGACAAATTAGTTTCCTCAAGCTTGAAGTCTGACCTCCACTGCGGTAACCTGGAGCCAGTCGCAAAATGCTGGTTCAGAAAGCATGAAGCCAATTACTTCCTTCACTTCACAAAAAAGCAAACAAACCCAAACACATTAACCCGGAGATGACCTGGAAATACAAGTACAAATCTACACTTGAGTGGCTGTTCACCAGGTATTCTCACAGCCTAATTTAGGAGGCAAATAATTTCTGAAGTTGTAATCGCTTGAGAGCCAGATTCCTTTGCCAATTTATGGCAGTCAAGCCAACCAGATCATGCATATGTATATATATATAAACCACGGATGTAGAAAACCCTGAGAAAGTGAAACAGAGCAAAGAAACGCAACCATACAAAGAAGACAACCAACCAACCAGGTAATTTTTATTACAAAGTAAAAACATGGGGAATCCTAGAGAGAACGGAAGGTTCCCCATGAAGAAAAGAGAAAGCCATTGCCACTCTCAGGATGCCGGCTGGAGTCATCCCTGCCTGGAGCTTCACAATTCTCCAATGGGTATTCTGGAGGCGAACAATATGGCCGCCGCTGGGCCCTGTCGTGAAACAAGCATGGCAGCTACCTGGCCAGGAACAAACTGGGGGAAGTGACAGGACTGAGGAGAATCTGGCTTGTGGAGAAGCATCTGTAGAGGCAGACAACAGAGCTGGAAGAGGAGGACAATATCCGAAGATCAACCACAAAATGGCCACTCCTCCCCCACTGCTCCGAGCACAGCAAAAGAAGCCCCCTCAGGCTCCTTCGAGGGCACCAGCCCGGCCTGTCATTCATTCAGCCTCGATGACAACAGGCAGTGGGTTATCCTGGGCTGCAGCTTCTACCTCGCCCGCTTGCTTTCTGCGAGCCTCAGCTGGCGGCCGTGGGGGTGGGTTGGTTGGAGGGTGTTTAATTGTGGCTCCTATTTGTAGCGCTTCCCGTTGCCTCACTTCGATGGGACGCCACTCTTCGCCACGGATGGCAGCCTGGAGGAAAAAGCCCAGAGAGATATGAAGGGGGAAAGGGTATCTCAAGGGCAAAACCCATTTTTATTTTTATTTTCTGCATGCACATGGTCCCAGGTTCACAGGAGCGTCTGAGGCCTTACACAAAGTCGGACAAGATTAGTTGAGCTAGCTCAGTATTGTCCACATTGACTGTCAACAGCACCTCAGGGCTTCAGGCAAGGCTACATTTCTAATTCTCCCTGGAGGCGCCACATATAGAACCTGGAAACTTCAATATGTAAAGCAGATGATCTACCACAGAAGTAGGGCTGGGAGAGACTCCCACCTGAAACCTTGGAGAGCCACTGCCTGTCAGTGTAGACAATACTGTGCTAGTTGGACCAATGGCCTGACTCAGGAGAAGAAGCTTCCTAAGTTCCCTATATTGTCCTTGCCATAGCTCAGAGGTTGAGCATCTGCCTTGCATGCAGAAGCTCCTGGCATTTCCAGGTAAGGCTGGGAATCGTCCCCTGCCTGAAACCCTGAAAGCTGCTGCCCATCTGTGTAGATGATGCTGAACTAGAGGAATAAATGGTTGGACTCAGTATAAGAACATAAAGAACCTGAGAAGACCCTTGCTGATCAGGCTAAAGGCCCATCTAGTCCAGCATCCTATTCTCACAGGGAAATCCTCAAGCACAACCTGAGTGTCTAACAGCGCTTTCTACACCAGCAATTCCCAGCGACTGATACTTCAAGGCAGAATTTAAACCCTGATGCAAATCTCTGTTCTGTCAAAGACTCATTCTGTCCATAGCCTCCATTCAAGTCACATCCCTCCCACCCCAGTCTGTCGGTCTGATGGCAATGTAAGCCAGCCAGCTGACCTCACTGAGTTCATTGCACAGAAACTGTGTATTTTTTTAAAAAGTTGTTTCCGTTTTTCTTGATGCCCTTTATGCATCGATGGACCTGCATCGTATTTTTGTTCGATGTTTATTTTATTTTTACTTTTGTATCACATTTGAAAACAAATAATAATGATTTGAGAGGAAGTGGGGAAATGTGTTGAATCTTTACTAGAGGAAAAATGAGTAAATTTCTGCCTTGGAGAGACTTATTACTATTATTATGTTGTATCCAATGTAAGTCATGCTCAGAGTACAACCATTGAAATTAAGGGATGTAACTATTTATTTCAATGGGTCTACTCCGAGTAAATGTCAGTTGGATACAAAACATTTTCACTATTCATTTCTGATTATGGTTATTTGATTTATTCCCTGCCCTTCACCATAAGGTCTCAGGATGGGTTACAGGAATCTAAAAATAAATGTCATTGTGAAGAGAAGAGTGTGGGTTCTAAAAATATATTCTCTCAGATGCCAAAGTCCGGGGTAAAAAGCTGAGGCCTCAGCACTTTTAAAAATTGAATTATCTTGTTAGACTCAAATAAGTGATAGCAAATGCCCAGTTAAGATTAAACAAGCTTTTTACACCACATAAATTATACACATTCTACAAAAACTTATAAGAAAATGAGATACTAATATAATATCATCATCATCATCATCATATTTTTACTGCTTTTATATCCCACCTTCTTCTCCAAGGAGTTCAGAGTGGCACACATGCTTCTCCTCCTACTCCTTATTCAAGTCCCACAACAACCCTGTGAGGTAGGTTAGGCTGAGAGTTGGTAACTGGCCCAAGGTAAGCCTCCTGAGTGCGGATTTGAACCCTGGTCTCCCAGGTTTCTTCCATCCAACTCTCTAATTGCCACACCACACTAGGCATCATAAACCCCAGGATGTACACCGTCATTTCTTGCTCCACATGAAATACTGGAATATGCTCAATTATCAATTTGAAGTAACATATTTTGTATTTAAAGGTAGCATGAGCTCTGACCAGCAGAGGGAGCTAGAGGGCTGCTAGTCATTCCTAGGCTCTGAAGCAAAGGATTGCAGGAAGGAAAGGTTGCCTTGCAGATCCTGCAGCCTAAAACCATCAGACAGCTGAGCCCTGGATCTTTGCAAAAATTATACGGGAGAATCCTTTGTGCAAAATGACTGAAGCTTTAAAACAGGGGCGACTCTGTTTTACAAGAAACTCCCAGGACAAGGACCTAATAATCCTCCAAGACCATCCTCCCACAAAAAACAAATATTTATTCCATTTTCTCCTTGACTATCTTAAAAGGACACCTAGAACGACACTGTGGTAAAATGCACATTTATTTAAATTTAACTCATCAATCATTCAGTTTACTAAACACTGGATGATCCATTAGCTACAAATCATTTTAACTATTTGACATCTTTGTATATATTATTACTGTTGCTGTTGTTAATTCAGGAGTCAAATGGGGGTTGTGGCGGGGGCTACTTACCAGTAAGTAAATGCCGCTTGCAATGGCGAGACAAACTGTGCCGAGGATCGTGGCCAGTAAAAATGCTGCTGGAACAGCCAAGCTGCAAAAGGAATAAGTGAGAGAGATTTATTTGTATTTGTTTTAGAGAATCTATAAGCCACTTCTCACTTCTATGATAGCTTATCAAATCAATTTACATATAAACCATAATGCAATGAACTCAGCAGAAGGATGATGGGGACAAAGATAGAATTAGTTGGCTCTGGCGCCACCTACTGTTGACCTCTCTGCCTTCTGCCCTATCCAGTCTCAATGGGCACCAGCCACCAATGAAATAAGCAGAGCATCACCTGTGTTGCGCCATTCCTTCCAAGAATCCCAGCAGTCCAGCTAGGCAGTCTCCTCCCAATGCCTGGATTTATGTGTGGAATGTTTTAATGCCATCTTGTGATGCTCTAATGGATGCAGGTAACAGGGTTCCCATATTTCAAAAGGTGAAAATCTCCCCACCCACCCCCAGACATTTAAGGGATTTCTGCCCAGACACTTCTTCAGAACATTGTATGTCAGGGATGGGAAACCAACAGGTCTCCAAATGTTATGAGTCTTCAATCATCCTTGGACCACTGGCCACGCTGGCGGGATCTGGAGGTCAAGAGGTTAGTTTTGCACCCCGTGACATACATCTTTTGTTCTGAATAAGATAAATGCATGAAATGGGTTGTCAGGTTAAAGCAGTAGCTTGTGCCCGACCCTCCTACTTTAAGAACAGTCTTGCCAGCTGACTGGCCAGGATCCGAAAAGGAACTGTTAATATTATTCATTGCATTTATAACCCAGATTTCTTTCCAAGCAGTTCAAGGTGGCGTACGCGGTTCTCCCCCTCTTTTAATGATCCTGCGAGGTCTGTTAAATAGTGGGTAGACATAGCAGACGACGCAGCGATTTCTCCAAAGCAGCTCTTTATGTGTAAGCTGGAACAGAACTGAACAGCAAATAGCTCAGCCGGCCTGCTTTTATAGGCAGCCGGCTGTCAACATTTAGCAACAACAACCCAGGGTTTCCCGCCTAAAGTAACTGACGTGGACCTGAGTGAAAACTATATACATGATACTCCTGGTGGCCAGGGTGAGAACTTCAATACATAACAAGGTCGGTTACACAAAGAGGAAGCAACTGACTCAAGGTCACCTGGTGAGCTTCCTATTAGGCAGCCACCTTCATTGTAGAGTTTTTGACACCTGCTAAAACCTTTTCTGTTTGGGAAGCCTCCCAGGACAGATCATTTTATTATGCATATTGTTTCAAAAACTGTCCATTTTATCTACATTTTGATGGCTTCATTACGTCAACTTTTTAAAAAGTCTGCTGAGTTTAGTGCTATTTTCTTCTGAGTATTTTACATAAACCAGAACATTGTGGGGTGTTTTTTTTTGGGGGGGGGGAATAAATGCTATATCAATCTTGTTAAATAAATAAGCTACATTGCCTTCAGATATACAGTGTTGCTGTTGTTTTTTTTATTAAAAAAGGGAGAATGCACTGTAAGGAGGAGGCGTGACCAACATCTTATGACCCGTCTTAAGATTCAATTGAGTAAACAAAACACCTACCCACATTGCAGAACCAAGGAAAGGGGACCCACTGTAATGCCCCGCCCCCCAACCACATCCAGTTAAGACTTCCATGTGAGTTTCATGTATGTGGGCCACACACAAACACACACATGTCTCCATGAGACATGAGCATCAGTTAACTGGAGAGAGAAAGCAGAAAGTTTTGTCTATTTTTTCCCCCAAATACTGAAAAAGCTGACAAGTCAAGAAGCGGAATGAATTATTTACCATATGTGCAGGAAAGCCCGGACGTAGTAATTCCTAGTGAGGGGTCCAAATGCCTTCACGACAGTTGTGAAGCACTTCTGGCCACTGTTGGGGATGGGAGTAAAAAGAGAGAGTGCAATGACAAACACAGATTCTAGTTGTCAAAGGGTTCTGTGATACCCAGAAGCTTACTCAAAAGCCATACTGAATGAAGGAGGCAGACCTAACCTTTTGAAACTACATTGATTTTAACCAGACATTTCCTGAGCTCAAGGAGCAGGGTTTTGTCTATGTTTGGATACTACTGGATGCCATTTTGAAGGAAGATGGCAGGCTGACCCTTTTGGAAATGTGCTGAACGTAACCATTGATTTCAAAAGTTTGCTGGAGTTTTGGGTTCTTAGAATTCCCAAGCAACACCAGGTACAAGGCTGCATAACTAAAATGAATGCCTATTTTGAAAGCCAATGTCAATAACAATCATGGTCAAAAATGAAAAGGCATTAGACACCATACTTATAAAAGAATGGAAATGGTTTATTGAATATTTACAAATTGTAAACAGTTAAGAACATTGGCAGGATTACTGTAATGCAGTTTCATAAGAGTACGGTATATATTTAAAGTAGATCAAAAAATGATCAAATTAAGTTAATTTGGATATGCAGAAGATATTAAAAATAAATTTAAGGAGCCACAGAAATAGGGGGAAGGAAGTCAAGTTTTGAAATGTTAGAATGACTGTAAAATTATTGAAATGTATAAACCTGAAAATCATAAATAAAAATAAAACATTTTTTTAAAAAAACTTACCACCGCTCCATTGTAGATCCCTTTTTCCGCTTCCCCCTCGGGTACTCCAGCAGGCATATAAAGACTCCAGCAGCTCTTTGGCGAAAAGGGTTAAGGAAAGGGGGGTATCTCTGTTGTGCCCCATTATCCTAGGAAAGCTTTCTCCTGAGTAGCCCCTGATATCCAGGACAGCCCAGAATCCCTCCTTTGCTCTGTCCTGGGAAATGAGAGAAGAGTTTTTTAAAATGTATATATGTTATGTTTTATGTTATGTGTTATGTTATGTTATGTTATGTTATGTTATGTTATGTTATGTTATGTTATGTTATGTTATGTTATGTTGTTATACAATTTGTGTGTGTGTGTTTCCAACAGAAAAAATATTTCCAAAGTCCCACTAGTGACCTGGAGGAAGTTTGTATCTTAGCAATATTAAGTCAAAGAGCCAGTTCACACATGCAGCTCACATGTTTGTCTCAACACAATCTTTCCTCTGTGTGAGGGGGTGGAAGAGGCATGGAGAGAGATCTGTTTGAAGCAGACTGTACGCTGAGGTAAAGCCTGCATCCCTTTCTGCAATCACTGTGGTTGCAAACACAAAAATTTCCCCAAAATACCAAAACTGAAACGGCTGCAAGCTATTTCAGGCTGTAGGCCCCTTGAGACCGAGACCTGTTATCTGTAGGGGAGCATGCAGATAGAAAACGCTAGACAAATACTAGGGTCATACCTGCACGTTTAGCTCACTTTTATGCCACCATAAGCAGCCATGGCTTACCCCCAAAGAATCTTGGGAGGTTTGTTTGTTAAGGGTACTGAGAGTTGTGAGGAGAACCCTTCTTCCCCTCACAGAGCTACAATTTCCAGAGTACTCTGAGAAGATTGGTTGTTTAACTACTCTGAGAATTGTAGTTCTGTGAGGGGAAGATGGAATCTCCTAACAGCTCTCAGCACCCTTAACAAACTACAGTTCCCAGGATTCTTTGGAGGAAGCCATGACTGACAAAGTGATATAATAGTGCCTTAAGTGTATGCTGTGGATGTGGCCTTCAAAATGTGACTACAGTGGTACCTTGGTTTGCATACGTCTTGGATTACCAACATGTCAAACCCGGAAGTGCGTGTCCCAGTTTGCAACCTTTTTTTGGATCACAACCCATTTTTTTTGATTACCAAAAAAAATTTAAAAAATTGGAGGCCCCATTGGCGAAAGCGCTCCTTGGGTTACAACCTGCTTTGGTTTACAAACGGACCTCCGGAACTGATTATGGTTGTAAACCAAGGTACTACTGTATGTGTATAGCCTGAATCAGACTGAGATTCTCACACAAAGGCACCGGGAATCAGATGAAGGAATAAAATGGCCCTTGTACCTTTAAGAACTGGTTGTCAAATTTGCTTTTGCCCTCTTCCTTTTCCATCCCATCCCTCTTTTCCTTTTGTGCCATGTCTTTTAAATTGCATGTCTGTGGGCAGGGATGCTCGTGTTTTTTATTAATCACACCTAGGTTGCTCTGGGAGTCTTTTCAGATAAAGAGTGGAGTAAAACCACTTTAAGCAAACACCAAGGTTTTGAGGGATGTAGAAGAGCAGAAAAACTGGACACATGGTCCAGGGACAGGAGAGAGAACAGACCAGGCTGGATTTCATATTGGTTTGAACTCATCAGGCCAGATCTTTACAAATCCTCTGCTCTGTTTTATCCCCCCACTATAACCCAAAGATCAGATGAGCATAAGGTCAATTCCATTTCACCCTTTCAACAGCTCCAGCAAACAAAACCCCTCTGATTGCTGTGTTACATGTGGGAAACTGAGTCTGAGAAGTACCAAACTGCACAAGGGCATCTGGTTGAACTGGGAGAGAGCTTGATCTCACTGACTGGCAGGCTCAAACCCACAAGCAGCAGGATGCCACTCCATGTGCACATTGTTCCTTTGCACAACCTACAAGCCAACTCAGTCCTTTCTGCTCTGCCCTTTCACCAGCAGCCAATGACTGGCTATGGAACTGCAACTTCCTGGACACCATTTACTAAACAGAACCTACCTTCTTCCCTCTTTTCATGGTGCAGCTACAGAAATTCCACATTTTGCAATCCTCATACTTCTGCAGAACGCCTGCATTAAGCAAAGCGACTATTTTTTATTTCCTTGACATCATTTGGCCAATGGAACCTTGCTTCCACCTCTTGTTAAGTGCTGGGAAGCGTCCAAATTGTTCAGTTACAGAAATTCCAATTTTGTAATCACTAGACTTCCGCAAGCGCACGCACACACACACACACACACACACACATGTCCAGATTAAGCAAAACCCCTATTTATTCATGCTGTACCATCTGGGGAACTGGTCAAAAGGAAGTTGGACTAGATGGATTTTGAGGTGCCTCCCACCTATTTGATTCTGTGATACCAACAGAATCACAAGGCATCTTGCAGCTACAGAATCGGGGGGGGGGTTGGGGGGGGAGAAGAAAGGAGAGAGAAATCACATGGAAGGATACATTGAATAGGCTGCAAACTGCCAGTTTTTGAACTGCCCAGCAACTGCCACGATTCCACCAGTCACTAGAACTAAAAGGGGGAAAGAAAAAAAAGACAAGCTTACCTACAGTCCACCACAAATCAACATTTAAAAAATAAACATGCAAAACAAATGTAACGAGCCCACAGCTCACAATTCATGGTCCAACTTTTATTGATGTATTTATTACGGGAGAAAAATAAATTAAAAGAGCAGAAAAGCCACTTAAAATTAGAGAGTCTGTGTGATGCTGTGCAGTGGCTGGAGCAGGGTGGGCAACCTCTGGCCTAGGGGCTTTATGCAGCCCTCTCTGTTTGCCCCTTAGCATTCTCCCCAGTCCAGCGTTGCGCCTTCCTTGAGTGGCTGCAATGTGTCCTTGATCTCTAGGAATGCCTCTTACGTGCCTACATGGAGAGAGCTGGGTATGTAAGTGTGTATGTAAAAACTAGCCTGCTGTGCCCAGAGTAAAATCTGCATCTGCTGCCCTGCCCACTTTTGTCTCTGGCTCCGCCCACCATTGGCATGTGGCCCTTAGACGGTTTCCCACAAGGAGACGCGGCCCTTGGACTGGTGAATGTTCCCCACTCATCCGTCAGAGTGTTGTAATGGGACCAGAGGGACCCAGGTTCCGTTCCCTACCCAGCCATGCAGATCAGGGAGTGTGGCCTTCCCCACAGGATTGTTGTGAGGATAAAAGCAGCACAGAAATATGCACAATGCTCTTTGGCAAAAAGGAAGGATGAGAAATAAAGGAAGGGCCATATTGTCCTTTGACAGAGGCAGAGATTAACTCCCAAAGAAATAGCCATTCCCCACCTCCAGGAATTCCTGCTGCTTAACTTTCTGCTTTCCATGAATGATACCCTGTGCATGTTCAGAGGAAACTTTGTCTTTGCTATTTCACTGAAAACGTGTGAGGGCAAGGAGCACCCATAGCAGCAGATAATAATCTTTTGTGCTGCAAGGCATTCTTTAATTGCTCACAGCACTTTTCACACATTATCTCAGCCGTGCTCTTAAGGTTCCCTCAGGCTCCACACTGCCCAGCTTTGAATGGGGATGGGGAGCTGTTTGTTAAGAAAGAATTACTTGCTTGGAGTTGCCCAGGGAAAATGATTGGCAGTAGACTCAGGGCAGATAAAAGGCAGGATTCCCCCCCCCCCACACACAATATGTCATTCATATTGTCAGGAATTTACAGCCACAGGGGCTGTGGAAATGGCCCCTCACTTCAATGACTTTTAAAAGGAGAGGAGAAGCCAATTTAGGGGAGACTTATATCAACCGCAGACCACAACCCATGGTAATAGAGCCTCCAGGTTCAAGGGCAGGCTACCCCCCCCACACACACAAAGAGCTGCTGGGGAAGCAGAAGCAGGAGAGGGTTTTTATCCTTTCACACCCTGCTTGTGAGCTTCCCAAAGGCATCTATCTGGTTGGATGCTGTGAGAGGCTGGACTTCAGGACTTCTCCCTAGCTGGGCTTCTAGTCTGACCTAACTGAAACATCTCTTCTTAGCCACATGTTATGCCCCACTTGTGAAGAAGGAGGCCGTATTAATTTACATTTGCGACCTGATCTGGCAGGGTGTTTTCTTCTTCTTCTTATGTCCTTGTGGCGGAAGTCATCTGGTTCTGTTCCTGGACAAGATGAGATCAAAACTAAGAACTCCCTTAGTCTTGCTCCACACACCTTTTTCTCATGTCCTTCTAGGAGGATTAGACTAATTCACAGAGGAGGAGGCTATCAGTGGCTAAGAGTCACACAGTGCCTGTATGCTACTGCCTCCGGGATCAGGTCATACCCTTTGTTTCTGCTGGTGTTTGCGTAGTCAAAAATGTCACCATCTTGGTGCAAGAGGGAAGGAGGCATCAGGGAAACTCCAATGTTTGCAAATGTGGAAGAAATCTTTAGGGTGGGGGTGGGGGTGCAGGGGGCGGATATAAGCTCAGGGAAGGGCCATAACTCAGGGGCAGAGTACCTGCCAGATTCAACCCCCTTCATCTCTGAGAACAGATAGGAAAGACTCCTGCCTGAAACCCTGGAGAACTGCTGCCAGCCAGTGTAGGCTATATTGCGCTAGATAAGCCAAGTTTGGGGGTGGGTGGGGAGGGGGCAGTTTCCATAGTGGCAGATTTACGGCAGCACGGCCGGTTCCCCCACAGTGGGTGTTATGTATTGAAGTTCTCACCCTGGCCACCAGGAGTATCGTGTATGTAGTTTTCACTCAGGTCCATGTCAGTTACTTTAGGCGTCTCCTTGCCAAACCAGACCTCACGCTGCAGAAAGCCACTGAGGAGGCCGTGGCCTCAGAAGCTGCTTAACTCTCCACCCAGGAAATCCGCAAGGCCACCTGGACTCTGGTACTGGCCCTCGGCGATCCAGCAAGGTTTCCCGCCTAAAGTAACTGACATGGACCTGAGTGAAAACTACATACACGATACTCCTGGTGGCCAGGGTGAGAATTTCAATACATAACAGTGGGAGCTGAGTGAAAACTACATACACGATACTCCTGGTGGCCAGGGTGAGAACTTCAATACATAACAGTGGGGAGCCATAGGGAGTCACAGCTATAATGTAGTGCATGTGTAGAATGGGAGGCGATGGGTGGAGACATGCCAAATTTTGGTCTTGCACAGGATGCAGGTGAAAGACCAGAGTCTGCCCCTCATTGGGGCATCTGGTTAGCCACAGTGCAAAAAGGAGTCTGAACTAGACGGGTCCCCTTTGGCCTGATCTAGCAGACAGGTTTCTTCATATGCCTCTTTCCTTTAGAGCCTCACTTCCTACTAGGTCACCTGATCTCAGGGAAATTCCCACAAGGCTAGTTTACCACCATCAGATCTTTGCAAGGAAGAAGAACCAAGAAGTGAAACCTTCTCCCAGTCTGTCATTGCCTCACCCCCTGACTGCTCTGGGTGGGTGGGTGTGGAACAGGAGCAAGCACTGATTTCATGAAAAAGTTTTTGCAAGGTGCTAGGCCATAAACCCTCCTCTGTCTGTGTGAACTCACTAACCCAGATTAAAGGAACTTTCTCTGTATGTACAGACAACAAGCCCACTTCTGCAGAAAAGGCACGCAAGGCTGGGGCTGCTGGTTCCTCTGACCTGGGCAGCATTTCTTATTTTGTCAAGGGAGCATGCGAGGCTCCCAGCGGCAAAGTCATTTCGAGAAAGCAGCCAGAAACAGCTCCCTTCTGCTGCCTCTTGTGTTTTGGTTCACAGGGCAACTGAAGTTTTAAAAAGCAAGAACTTGTCATGGCCGTGCCACCAGGCCCTCCTTGTCTGAAAGGACCCAGGCGGACATCTGGGATGCGTCAAGCAGAGCGCCAGATGGACGCATTCGAGCACACCAGCAGGCCTGTGGAAGCAAACGGGATGTTCTGTGCACTGCTGTGATTACAGCATGAAGGCCGAACTATGCAGGAATTAAAGGAGCTGGCAAAGACGTCTGAGCTCCGCGTCATCTTAAGATACCAGCTTCAAAAGATCCAAATAATGGTGCAGTGAAAACAAGGAAGGGTCTTGTGGGAAATTAGAGACAAAACGATTTACTGTAGCATGCCATACAAATAAACACTCCACAAAGCTAGTCTATGAAAGTTTATGCTGAAAGAAATCTTTTTATGTTTATGGTACCATGAAACTCTCTCTTTTTAAAGATGCTGTTTAGGGGCTAAATGATATCCCAGGATTACCGGTAACTGAAAGGTTTATCTGTGAATTAGATTTGTTTATATTTAGAGTCTTGGCTTTCGTTTTACATAAAAATAAGACTGAGGGGCACACGCAAATCAACACAGGCTAAGCGCCGATGCTATGTCTCTCAAATTCAGCAACTGCACTTGCAGCCAGAAGTGCAAGTATTTGCACACAAACACACGTCCAGTTTTCACATTGCCTCAAGGTAAAACTATCCATTATGTTGAGAGTACATGTTTTAGGTATGAAAGACGTACAGTACATAACAATTGACAGATGCAAAGCAAACAGTACAATGTTTAGACTGGGGCTGCGTACACACCTTACATTTCAAACACATTGCTTCCTCCAAAGAATCCTGGGAAACGTAGTTTATTCCCTCACAGAGCTGCAATTCCCAGCACCCTTAACAATTTGCAGCTTCCGGGATCCTTTGAAGGAAGCCACACGCTTTAAACGTGGTGCGGAAATTTGAAAAAAAGAATTTGTGCTATCAAAGGTATAAAATATGAAAGTTGGATACATTTACACATTTCTGTTGAGTGCTCAGCTGTAGTCCCCTGGGTTCTGATTATTTATTATGTATTGAATTTATATCCCCCCTTCCTCCTGAAGGAGCCCAGGTTGGCAAACACATTTTTTTAAAGTGTTCTAAAATAGTTAAAATGTTTTTTTAAACCCCAGTTACAATTAAAAATATTATTTCATTTATGGATCTCAGGGTTGTCAGGAACAGTAACCTTCAGCCACCAAATGCCTGGGGTCCCTTTCGCTTATGTATAGGAGCTGTCTCAAACAGATGCAGGATGCTAAGCAATGCACCCAGTAAAAAAACCTCATTTGGGATGTTTGTGGGCTGTCCGTTTTGATAAGAGTCTCAGGCTGCTTCCAAACAACCTATATATTGAGGAATCAACCTGATTTGTTTGTAGGAAGATTATATGTTGCTGACTATTTAATGAACATTTATTCTGTGTGCAGGGAAGTCTGGTCCATCAAAGCAAATTTTACCACACACTTTCCCCATCACTTTCCTTACTGCAAGAAGTCCTATTGAGTGATGCTGGCCAACTAATCAGCCCTAATGATTTTGAATATGGATACACAATATGGCTCTTGGTTACTCCACCTTAACTAACAGGAAAATGGAAGGCTGTGTGCTTGCAAATGCCCTAGCCTGCACAGATCACTCCTGGGCTAATGGCAACATCAAGTTTCCTTCCTTATTTTCATCCATTGCACTTCCTCAAAAGGAAAGCACAAAAATCTCCTTGGTTCTGATGGTCACAGCCAAGCCAGGTTAAAGTCCTTTCCCCTCAAAAAATCTAGAAGTCTCCTTCCTGCCCCAATTAAAAAGGATGCCCCCATCAAAAAAGGGTGTGTGTTATGTGTTTAACATAACCACCACAGGGCAGGTGAACTGCTCTCCCACACAGCAAGGAAATACATCAAGGAGAGTCACAACACACACATAACCCGATGGCAAGGCAGAACTGAAACACGAGTAAAAACTGTTGCAGTCACTATGCAAATTCAAAGTTTAAGATTTGGTTTCATCAAGACTAATTTGAGATTAATGGGGGAAAGGGCATATCATTGCTGGCCATTGACATACTGGGAATTTCACAAAAGCACGTTTAATTGGAATGCTCAATGTTTAGGAACAAATACATTTTATTTCTTTATTTTTTAAAAAGAAGGGAGAACTTAAGGGGTTGAGAATTTCAGTCTTGGCTCTGCAAACTCACAGGCAGGCTCTCTCTCGCTCACATTTAACCCGGTCCCCCTGCTTTCCCCAGCCCAAAGCTACTCCACTAAAAGATGCGCCCCAATTTTTTTAATCCCACCCACTCCGGCACAAAACAAATGGACTGAGGCTATGGAGCCCCTTGCAATGGGCAAAGTGCAGATTCCTTCATTTACTCTGGTTTAACCACACCACTGTGGGGGTGAGGGGAATTGGAGGAGGAAGAGAGGACTCCCGGGCCACAAACCTGCTGGAGGGACTCAAATTCTTTCGCGAAGGAAAGATTTCGGGAAGGGGGCTCAGAACAGTTTCTAACCTGGCATCGCCCGCTTTTCCTTGCCTGGGGCGACAAGGACACTCCGCACTTGCTCAGGGGCCCTTTTGCTCCACTTAGCAAGGAGAGATGCTGGTGTCCATCCCCCCTCCCTCCTCGGGTCCCCCCAAAAAACTCACTCAGGCCGGAGGCCAGCGCCTGCTCGTTCGCCCACATGGCCCACTCGATGCCCCCCATCGCGCCGCGCTCAGCTGCACCGAGAAAGTGAAGGAGGGAGCCGGCTGCTGGGCGGACACCTCTCCCCCCCCAACTCCCCTACGTCCCTTCCTGCTCCTCCTCTGCGGGCCGAGCCAGAAACGCCCCACAACAGCCCGGCCTCCGCCAGTGTCTCCCTCCAAACACGTGTCTCGGCTGTCCCTCCCGCCCCATTCCCACGAAGCGCCGCTGCGGCTCCCTCCAGTTCCAAACGGCGCCAGCTTTCGACTTGCACAGGATTCTTCAGCTCAAGAGGCGTGCGGGGAAAGACTGCGCCAAAAAAGTTCACACAACGCACCCTAATCCTCCTCAGCATACTGTAAAAGCACCACGTGAACGCAGCCCCATAAAACCGATTCCCCCCGCCCCCCCCAAAAGCTGTGGGATGCTAGATGCAGTTGAGAACAACACTGTATAACTGAAACCATTCCAATACTCTACTTTTATTAACCTCTTCATATCCAGAACCCATCACATTATTGGGATCCGTTTTATTTACTTAATATATTTTAAGTGTTTTATGCCTTGGGAGAAAAGATGACACATGAATTTAATAAACCATGAGATGTCGGGACAGACAAAGAACTTAGCAGCAGCGCCCCTTTAAAGGAGATGCTAAGCTTTGCACCCCAAAACTTGGAAGTAGGGAATCAAGTGCTGCAAGCTGCAGGATAAGGCAAAGAGAAAGTAAGCTGTGCTTCAAAATTGGCAGGTATAAACGGGAATCAGACAAGAAATGAATTTTGTGCAAGGGCTCTTGGGGAAGGAGGAGACTTTCTGCTGCTAACTGTAAGCAGAGGGGGAAAGAGACTTCCTCTCAACTGCCAGGAACTGGATTGACCAAGATCAGTATTCACCTCCAAATGCAGTACCCAAATAGGAGGGTTAATTGTGGGACACTGAAGGCGGAAGGGCCTTAGTTTTGTGATGGAGAGTCTGCTCTGCTTGCAAGAGGTCCCAGGTTCAGTCAGCAGCATCTCCAGGTAGGGTTGGGAATGTGCTATCTGAAGCTCTGCAGAGCTGCTGCCAGTCAGTGTAGACAAGACTGAGCTAGATGGACTAGTGGCCTGGGTGCAGTAAAAGCCAGCTTCACGTGTGTTGTTGTAGAGCAACCACACTAATTCAAGAGATCCAGCGAGGCAGCAGGGGGCAGCCCAAAATTTGCCTGGCTCGTTCATTTGAAAAACCGAACGCTCTCCAGTTGCCCCAAAGTCTGCATGGCGTCTTCACTCCTTCCCATACAACATGCCTCTCTCCTCCCCTACTCCACGTGTGGCAATGGTTCCAATTCCTTTTGTCTGCTTCTTCTTTCTTTGTCTCATTCGCTCCTCTCCTAAGTGCTGTAAGACCTGCACCAGTAGATGGTACTTCCAGGAGGTGGGGAGAGCGACCTGCTATCACTGCCCTCCCCTACATTTGCTGCTGTCAAGCTCCTCTGGAGGAGAGAGGTGGGAGCCAGGTGTTTGTCATCTAGCCTGGTGAAAGTCTCCTCTCTAAGCCACACCCTTGGAGTGCAGCAAGACCAGCACAAGAAATTTTACAGTCAGTTAACTCTTGTTTTGCCTTGTATTTATGTACTACAGTATTGTCTTTATTCTGTGTTTGATTATCTTTGGCCATTTTTCAATTTGCTGATATGTTCTGTATTTTGCACATTTGTATTTCCAGTGCTCCGTCTTTTGTTGTGTAATGTTTGCTGTTAGCCGCTTTGAGCGCAGCTAATTGTGGGAAAGCGGCATACAAGTAAACTCAGTCAATCCCAATTCTGCCCCCACCATCTCATCCTACAACCCACCCGCCCCTGGGCCTGCAACTTGTGCCCTACTATCACTGTCCTGCGAGGACTGCATAGACCTTCTGAGCCCAGTTTGCATGGATTTCACCTCGCTCAATTCACCTTTCATTCCCCTTACTGAAGTTGCACTGTTTGCCAGTATTCTATAGCCAACAGCTTCACTCAACGCAGCTGGAACGTTCAGCAGCTCAGCCAATGGGGAAGATGGCAACAGACAACAGCTAATTAGTACATACAGAGAAGATGTGAGAGAGAAAGATGGCGTGCACAGTTCAGAAGATCACTTTCATTTATCTTTAAAACCACAAGTTAAAAATGACATTCTGTAGCAATGAAAGTAAAACCTTAGTCGGGAAAACCCAAATGGGATCTTGTATAAAAGACAGCGGTATGAAACCAGCCAACAGGATTGGAAAGAAAACAAAGAGAGGCAAAAGATGCTGAGGGGGATATACTTTGGCTTACCTGAATACAAGGCAACCATTAACACCTCTCCCCACAATTGTATTTTCTAAAAAAGCAAGCCCCCACTTTTTTTAGCAGCTTGGGTGGGTGCCATCCCCCCTAGGCACTTCCCACCTCGCCCTGTGAGGGAAAGAGTGCTTGTGGGCACACGCTACTTTTTCAAGTGACCCAGGTTAAGAGTCAGTAGAATTATAATTGGAGCCTAGAAAAGCAATGGAGCTGAAAGAGGAAGTGAGAAAGATTGTCACTCTTCCGACTTCCTCCTTCAGTTTTATGTACTTTTTTCAAGAGAGAAAAAGGTAACCACCCACCACAGACTCATAAGCAAGCAGGTAGTGAATGGGGGCTTAGAGGCCTTGTTTTGTGGGTGCAAGGGAAAGAATCTAGCCCCTGGCACCCCATTGGCAATCCCTGGCATAAGTTAACCCTGGCTGTAATAGAACAGACTAGCAAATGAAGGTCTAACGTTTACTAGAATTTCTACAGCCCACAGCTGTGCTTTAACATTTCCAGTTCCTCAGAAACTCTTAGCGGTTAAGGCATCACTCATCTTTGTTCATTGATCGTGATGTGTACACACACCCTTAATAAAAGCAGGTGTCTTGCTGGATCAGGGGCTGGGGCCTGCAAGAGTCTAACATTCTCTGCAAGAATCCCAGATACCCACAGGCATTAGGAAGTGCAATAGAAACGGGCCAATGAGCTACCGCAATCTACCTTCTGCCTAGTCCTGAGCTACAGGGGAAGAAGCTCCAGCCCCAAGAGGTCAGAAAAAGGCTTGTGGGGCAGGGAGAAAAGAGGAAGCTTGTGCTGCCCTTCCTGTGAGGATTTTGGCTTGCAGGAGTCCCTGAAATAATACAATAGACAACACCACCACCACCGCTGAAAGAATGGCAAGAAAGCTTCCTACGCAAATAACCGCCAGATATTCCTCAATTTCATATTTCCCGTAAAGACACAGCCTCTTCCCATTCCCCAACTAACAAATGCCACTGGTCTTCAGGCAGTGCTTCCTGCCCAAATGTTTCCACAGTCCTCCTGCCCAGTCACTTGGCCCTGAGTGGGGAGTGGAGCAGCCCCAGAAACAGGACCCAGCTCAGCTGCTGCTTTGGGGCAACCCGTCTGCCCCCAGGAGATGACAGCTTGCATCTTCCACCAGTGCTGGTCCTGGCCCCGGCTGGAAGGAAAACAAAAACATAAGGGATGAAGGAGGGGAAGGAAATTAGGAGGCAAGAACCACACATTGTTCAAAGTGGAATCATAGTGCTTTAAATGTAGTGTGAATGTGGGTCCAGGTAAATCTATTTCCTCCAAGCCTGCCTGAAGCACCTTGCCCCAAAACAAGACATTCACCGCTGGGCAATATTTGTTAAGACTTCCTTTTCCTTCTCTGCCCTACCCTGGGGGAAAAGGGAGTAGCTACCAGCCCAACCCACTGCAGTCCACATGTGTTTAAGGAAGAGAAACAACGACAAGGAAACTGTTGTTTTTAATAGGGAGTGGAGGACTTCTGGTTTGAGAACACAGCAAACAGCAGCACTCACATAGTTAAAAATAAGGATAGACTTCCAGTGGGGTGGCTGTGTCAGTAAGACCAGAAGCACTTTATTATTTCTGGAACTTTTTTCCCCGCCCCATAAATTAACCTTGTAGAGAGGTGCCCGACCTTTAAAAGATGGCACCAGCTTTAAAAGATGGCACTTGTGGCTACACACTGGGCAAAGGGAGCTCTGAGACAGGAGTTATAGCGGTAGCAAAGACACAAGACTTCCAGGGACAGATTAGGAACAGCTTGCATTGCTGAATTATGAGCCAAGTCAGGCCATGTCCCTGGTGTCTGGGGTGTTGAAAGGAGGCCACCTTTATCCAGCCATACCTTGGTGAGCAGCATATACTGGATCGCTCCTGGTGTGGGGTCCCTCACCACAGCTGACAGCAGCTCCTCAGAGGGTGTTGCTGACCCCACGGGCAAACCTTTCAGGAACCTGGGCAGAGGGGTGAAGTGGAGACAGCAGAGTTAGGGCTTGAGGCTGTCCTGACCCCAGCAAGAAGAAGAAAAAGAGGATTTGGGAGGCATGGGGTGGGGGAGGGCAGCACAGATTTCAGACATGCACAGAAAGCACCAAGGCAGTGGGCATCAAAAGTCTGCTAAAAAAAATTTGTGTTCTGTTTATTAATGGCTTTCTGTTCAGCCCATGGGTTGGACACAAGAGGAAGAAAAGCTGCCACTGATGTTCCCAGGGGATGGTGGGCCACTTCTGGCCAGCAGACCACAGGTTCACCCCCTTATGCTAAATAAACTAAAAGCACACATTTCAATATTTTACTGCTATGACACCTAAAACAGGAGAGCTCTCCAATAACAAGGGTTGTCACTTACCTGCCACATAAGGTAGGCTCTTCCAAAAAAAAGACAACTAAATGCTTCACTATTTAACATTAGGAGGGGTGTTACTGGGTTGTTCCTATTTTATACTGTGGTTTTATGCAGTGCACCACCCTGAGATCTGCAGGTATAGGGTGGTATACAAATGTTAATAAATAAATTAATAATAATAATAATAATAATAATAATAATAATAATAATAGAAGATTTTCAGAACCAGAATACATTTGTAAACAGACAATAGCATTTTTGTGAGCAGGCACTGGAGGTTTGCTGCCTTCTTTGGGTGTTGGCCGTCATGGCACCCCTGCCTCCGATTACAGGGGTCACACAGTAAGTGGCAACGAAGTGATTGGGTTCACGTACTGGCCTCCATTATTCTCCGGAGGAAAGCTGCGCTTCACCACTTCCACAAACTCATCCACCGTGTCATCCAGCATGAAGAGAACTGCGTTTGGGCCAGCGTCAAATGTATAAGCCACCTGTAAATCAAGCCTAGATGTCAGCAAAGCACCTGTTTTACTTTAAAAGGCAACTATCCCTCTGTGTGTGATGGGAAGGAGCAGGGTAGGCATGTTCCTGCATTCCTGATCCAGGAAAAGACTGGCTTATCATTTAAGGGAAGTCCTGTGAAGCGAAGGGAGAATATAGCAGACCTTGTTCTCTAAGCTTTTAGAACAAGGTCTGCTATATTCTCCCTTCGCTTCACAGGAGCCTGTTGGGCTCTAAAAGAAGGAAGCTGCTGTAGAAAAGCTGCAGGACCTTTGATCCTCTCATTGCAATGTTTCCAAACGTAGATGGTCCTTGTCAATTTGACCCAGGTGCGTCCCTTTCCAAAGCCCTAGGGCGCCCCTGCCCTCCCTCCCGTGAGCACTGCGTATTTCTTCCCCACCGGCCGCACCTTGTTCTTGCCGCAATGGGCGTTGTAGCGGTGCACCAGGGCCACCACTTGCTTGGAGATGTCATTGAGATAGAAGATGGGTGGGAAAGTGTCCAGGCAGGTCGCGTGGAACTGGTTGCTGTCCTTCATGGTCAGCTCCCCAAAGGCCTCGAAGTCCCGCTGCTGGATATGCTGGGTCATTTGGGACATGCGCTCTGGAACCAGAGCCTCAGCACGGTGCTAGAAGAGGAGAGGGAAGAGATGGCTTTTGCTGTTTAGCTGTTTATTTACCATGGCTACTCCACAGCTGGAGGCAGCAATGCTTCTGGAAAGTTGCTGGAAACTGCAGGAAGGGAGAGGGCTCTGGTGCTCAAATCAAGATTGAGTGTTTCCCCAAAGGAATCAGGTTGGCCACTGTGAGAACAGGATGCTGGACTAGGTGGGCCTGATCCAGCAGGGCTCTTTGTGCATTTCTGCAGCCAGCAGGAGGCAGCACTTTCTCTTACCTTCAGCAGGAGGCTGGTCTTCACGCTGGTCTGCATGCCTGCCGTGCTGGCCACATGCTTCTTCTCCGCACTCACCTGCCAGGAAGGGGCACAGAGAACAGCAGCCATTCAGGCTCTGGCAAAAACGGTCCTTCAGCCCACTCATTACCTGAAAAACCAGGGCCTGCAGTGTTTTCCTGGCACCTGCCAATGCCCTCACTCACCACCAGGATCAACACCCTCAGCTCTGGCCAGTGCGTCTCCGGCGCCACCTGCTGGGCAATGCTGTCCTTGCCATCGGCGCTTTGCCCCATGACCCACTGCACGAAGCCCCCGAACATACTTCGGCAGGCACTTCCGGAGCCTTGTCGAGCCACTTCAGAGAGCTCACCCTCCACACCGTAGAGCTTGGCCAACGCGTAGACTGCAGCATCAGAGAGAAAAAGAGAGGAAGGAGAGTGGAGTTGTTTATTTATTGCACTTATATCCTTGGATATAAATCGGTTGATTAGAGCATGGTGCTGAAAATGCCAAGGTTGCAGGTTTGATCCCTGTATGGGACAGCTGCATATTCCTGCATTGCAGGGGGCTGGACTAGATGATCCTCAGGTCCCTTCCAACTCTATGATTCTACTAAGGAATGCCTCAGTCATGATGTCTATGACATCTAAGCTTTTTCTCCAAGGAGGCATACACTGTTCTCCCTCTCTCCATTTTAACCCTCACAACAACCCTGTGAGGCAGGTTAGGCTGAGAGGGAGAGCGTCATGGCCGAGTGGGGATTTGAACCCTGGTCTCCCAAGGTCCTAGTCCGACACTCTAACCACTGCACCACACTGGCTCCTCCCATGAGACACCTGTTATCCCTTAAGACCTTGATAATACCCTCAACACAACCATTTCTTCTCAGCCTCTTGGCTCTCACCCAGCTCTCCTGCAGAAATCTACATGGTTTTCACCCCCATTTCCCCCTTCCTCACAACAGCCCTGCCAGGTTGGTTAGGCTGAGTGAGACTGACTCCAGGTTTCCTGGTGAGCTTCATGAATGAAAGGGATTTAAACTCTGGCCTCTCAGGCCTGACTGACACTAACTGCGGGGCTGCCAACATACCCATCGTGCTCCTAGCGAGAGATGCCGTTTTGAACAGGGGAAGCAAGAGAGTCAAAAGAATCTGGAGGGAGCAGACCAGATCTCTAGGAGCTACCATCAGTTTCCCCACTCACCCAGACAGGCAAACCCAGCTGCAGAAGAGGCCAGCCCAGCAGCTGTGGGGAAGTTGTTTTCTGAGGCAATGTGGACCTTGTAGGCAAGGCTGAGGGCAGAGCGGCTGCTGCTGTCACCGCTGTTACCGTTACCGCTGTGCCGCTTCCTCGCTAGACGGCGTACTGGAGGAGTGAGAGAGAGAGAAAATGAAGGATAGCAAAGAAGGTGATGGAAGCCAGGCAGAAGATACCCGCAGTCAAGGAAATGTGACAGACACACAAAAGGCCCCTATTTGCATTGGCATCCCACTGGCTTCTGCAGATGCCCCTGTTCATACAGGCATTCCCTTGATGTCTAGATCAGATTCACTTGCTTTAATTACTGTTCTGTTTTAATGAGATAGTTTTATTGCATATTTTAATTATGGGTGCTCACACTTTAATTGGACTGATCTGCTGTGTATTTAATCGATGGGTGTTTACATTTTAACGTTTGTATGATTGGCTTTTTTTACTCGTAAAACCACTTAAAATCCTAGTTTGGCCTTAAGAGGTATATAACGTATTATTATTTATAATAGGATTAACTGCCACTTGGTGGAAATACCAAGCAGGGAGAGTGCTGTTGCACCCTGTCTTGCTTATGGTCTTTCTGGGGGCATCTGGTTGAACACAGAGAGAATAGGACGCTGGATTAGATGAACCTTTTTCTGCCATGCTCTTTTTGTGTTCTTATGGAAGCTCACTTCGGACAGCAGGTGGAGTCGCATGAGGGAAAATGCTCCATAATACTATGTTCATTTTCTGCGTGGAGGGAATTGACTCAGTGTAAAGCAGCTTCCTGCACTCCTGTAATTTGTGGCTGTACCTCACCAGTGTTCCAGATATGAGCCCTGTTTAAAACTGAACAGGAATAATTGTATATTTTTGTGTGTGGTTTGCAGTGGATCCCAAAACCATGGTAACAGCAGAGAGGCTGGCCAATGCCCTCCCTAGTGAGGTGTGCTTGTCCCCATCACTTTCAGGAGCCAATTTGAAAACATCCCTGTTTGCCCATATATTTGGTGGCTAAAGAATGCCTTGGCAACCCCAAGATCACTGGACAGAATAATAACATTTATAGCTGCAACGGTTTTTAGGAAAAAAACTTTTTTATGATATTTTGGATGAATTCAAACTCTGTGCCTGGTGCCAGTTCGTGCAGCTGCATCACAGAAATTAAAACAGACCTGAACCTGGCATTTGCTACGCAGGTGTGCCTAAGCCTTCCTTCCCTCAAACTAAACCCACAACTTCTTACTCTGCCCTCAGGAGAAAGAGCAACAGCACAGTTCTCCCAACCTTCCATCAGAAAACAGTCAAGGTAAAAAAAATTATTCCAAGGTTGACCCCTCCCCAAGTGGAATATACAGGTTGTACTCAACCAACCATTACTCAGAGTGGACCCACTGCAATTCATGGAGCCAAGTTAACCATGACTATTAATTTCAATGAAACTATCGTGGTGATGACTTAAATTAAATACAACCCTAAGAATCCAGACTTGACAAAAGAGGTCTATGCTTCTGTGTGCTGCCTTCTACTCACTCTCTCGTAGGCATGACTGGAGGCGTGGTTGACCAATATCATTCTCCTTCCCATTGAGCCAGAGGCGGTCCTCAGTGAAGTCCCGGCTGATGGCAGCTGTTGTGGTGGTTTTCAGCTGTAACAGAACCACAAGTTAGAAGCTCGCAAGCCATGAGCAGTTAACCTGTTGCCCTCCAGCTCCTGTTGGACTCCAGTTTTCACCACCCTTGGCCATCAGCCATGCTGGCTGGGGCTGATGGGAACTGGAGTCCAACAGCCACTGGAGAGCTGCAGGTTAGCCACCCCCATCATAAATGAACAACCACCTGGGGCCATCTAAGCAGACCTCTACCTTGCAGTCCTATGCCCATTTGCTCAGAAGTAGGTTCCACTTTGCCCAATGGAAACTGCCCCCAAGTATACATGTTTACCTGGCAGTAAACCCCACTGAGCATAGTAGGCTAGGCACAACATGCTAAAGCCAGCAGGATGAGGAGCAACACCTATATTTACAATCTTAAAAAGCAGTAAAAACATTGATCAAATAACTTTATAAAACACACCAGGCAGGCAGACTCCTCTGGGGAAAGTTTTCATACACAAGGCATTGGACTCAAATTCCCCCATCCCCTCATCTGACCACCACATGGTTCACCTCTTTGGAGAAGAACCTCTGAATGACCCCAATACCTAGGCAGGTTAAGAGGGAAATAAAATTTTAGCTGCAGATTCCAGGCTAGAAAGAACTACCAACATCACTGTTGGGAAGGAAGGAACCTGTGTTTTTCCTAAACCTTAAGAGGTTTATGCATCTACATGGTGGTAACATTGCCCCAAATCACAGAGTTAGTTTCTACCACCCTCCTGATGCTACCATTCTTCTTTCAAGAAAACAGAATCCTAACTTGCAAGTTTGGCTTCATAATCATGACATCCCTTCCAAGACCACTAGTAGATCCAGATTATTTAAAGAGCATCTACATTGAGTTTGATTTCTCTCTGTGTGACTGTATCGCCCTCAGTAAGGTTAATCATGGTTTAGTGACTAACAATCGCTCACTTGTAACCCTCAGTTTCGCAAACAAAAAGGGACATTTGTGACGATCTGGTACTAACCTGATCTTGGTGCAGGGTGACGCTGAGGGAAGAATTAATAGGCAAGATCAGCTCTTCATCACGCTTCCCCCCTGGGTAAAGGAGGACATTGTTTGAAAATGAGTGAACTCAGAAGCACTTCACCATTCTCTACAGTCAGTTCCCTGGGTGGTCAGTGTCTCAATAGCATCATTAACCTTGGGAGATGACAGAACTAGTCCAACCTGATCTTTCTCATGGCAATAGATGGAACTACATTACAACAGCAAGGTAAACCTCTTATTTGCTGGTGCAATCTTCCTCGTCCTCCTGGCTTTCGACTTGCTAATTTGTCCACTTATAGTACTGCGGGAGGAGAGAGAACTAGATTTCCCAACTAACAAATCCTGAGTTCTTTTGGGTATGCATAGAGTAACCCACCAGTCTTCTAAGGGACAAGGACAATCATTTTTTTAAATTTAGAACTGGCATTTACAAAATTAGTTGTTTTATTTACAATATTCTAAATGCAATTCACTTTTCACATTCAAAAAATGTGTTTATATCTCTAATCCACTTCATCTTTGTTTCCTTGGTATGGAATTTCACAAGTCAGGAGTAAACGCCTAAGATGCTTTTCCAAACGCCTTCACTGTCAGTATTTGGCATACAGAATTCACTCTTTCCTTGATGATCCACTTTTAATTTAAAGTTTCTTTAGTACAATGGAAATTATGACACATCATGCAGAACCCTCAATTACTTTTGATGGAATACCAGCAAACCCTCACATTTCGAGTGCACATGCTGCTTCTTCTTTGGAGATCACTCGTAGCTAAGTACGATTGTCTTCCATAAACACGGTTTTAACAATGAGTCCGTAAGTGACTGTGGAGGCCAATTCTAGATCTACACATCCTTCCACAGTGGGGACATTGGTTCCCGGAAGGGAGTTAATCACGGTGTGGATTTGCCAAGCATGCCTTCCTCTTAGCACGTTTCTCCCTTGTGTCCTGAGTTCGAGTGTCTTCAAAGCCTATGACACCTTTGGTAAAGGCTGTTCTCCAACTGGAGCGCTTGCAGGCCAGTGTTTCCCAGTTGTCAGTGTTAGAATCAATCCTTTAAAAGCTAACTTTCATTGCAGCAAATGTTGTTCCATTTCCTGATACTCTTGCATTTTTAGGGATATTTTAAGAAGGGAGAAGGGAAACTCACACTTCACCAAAAGCACAAGAAAAAGGAAGGAGTCTCTTTTTCTTCTCCCTTTAACCTCATCCTCTTGTACATGGATCTTTTGCAAAAAAGGGCTCTTGTAGGTCTCGCACTATACAGTGCCTTCTTATAAGCACTCAGAACAAAATCTAACTGTGTTCATGTTCAGTTGAGCTTGCTCGAGCAAAAACATATAGAAGATTACAGCCTTTAAAATGAACACACACATACACTTTCCTCTATGACAGTGTTTGGGAACCCTCCAGATGATGTTGGACTCTTAACTGCCAACAGCCCCAGCCAGAGTGGTAAATGGTGAAGGAATGATGAGAGTTGGGAGCCCAGCAAATATCCTGAGGGCCACAGGTTCTACGTCTCTGGCCTGTTAACTCTTCTTCCTCCCCATGCTCCTGGTTCACAGATTTGAAAGCCAGTCTTGAGATCCGAGGAGCAGCCACTAAGGTTTGCAACAACAACAACAACAACAACAACAGCAAAAACAATAGAAAAATGGGAGGTAAAGGGGGAGAGGAAAGGAGGTACTCACAGTATTTTATCACCGCGATGTTAACAGGGGCAGTGCAGGTCACGACGGACAAGGGTTTATCTTCAGCCATGGTGATGACAGACGAGAAGGGGGTGCTGCTATAGTTAAGGAGGAGGAGAGAGGGGCAAAGGGTGGATCAAGTAAGAAGGGGCACAACTTCAGATCCTGAAAAAAATGCCAGGAGCCAATCCAACGGCTTAGTCGAATCCTAGCTTGCTTGCGCTGTTTTCTCTACCCCAGCTACCCAGTTGCACTGACCACACGGGCGACAGAAAAGCAGATCCAAGATTGCAAGCCTCCCTCCAACACTCCCACATGTGCCTGCAAGGAGAAAAAGGAATGCCACGCCCCGCACAGCTGCCTTCTCTGGGATTGGTCAAGGAAGCACCAGCTGCTGCAAGCCTGCCCAATCAGGGCCGGCCTCATCGCCTCCTGTTGCAATTCTTATCCAATGAGAGCGCGTCGGAAGATGGGGCTCCTCTCTCTCCTCATTCAGAATGCTGATCAGAAAGGCGGAACCCTCGAGGCGCCTTTTAAGGGGGAAATGTTTTCAGTACGGACGTTTTCTGCACCGCGCAAGCAGGCGCTGGGTGCGCCTGCGCAGTACTTTGATGCGAGTCTATAACTGTAAGGACGTAGTAGGCTGCTCAGACCTGGCTTTCCATTCCGTTTGGGGGAATACAGGCGCAGCCATAATTCATTTGTGCACCACGTCCTTTCTGGTTTTTCAGAGTTCTTGTTGCAATAGTCCCGCAGAAAAAATGGGAGCAAGCAAAGCAATATTTTTAATTTAGACCAAGTAGATTTTTTTCGTGGTGGAAGCAAATTTTTGAATCACACGGGGCTCTTTTCAAGTTGGGTCTTCGGTAAAGAAAACTGTAGCTATATTCTCCGAAAGAACACGGTAATGATATTGCCCACGGTTAGGGCAGTGTTACAAAAGAGTGCACGATTTAAAGTTCTCCATAACTCTTCAGTGGGCTACGGTACGGTGAAAATGTACACAGTGACACCTTGTGGGTTGACCATAGCAGTGCACAAACTGCAGGATTTAGACTGCAATTGTTCGTTCATTTACCTCAGAGTAAAAGTTATCCATCCCATCTGAAGTTTTCACTCCAATCTCACCCTCTGGAGTTTGGTTTCCTCTATGGGCTAATAGGGTGAGCTGAAAGTTGCCCTGGAAAAACTTTGCAGTTCATGGGAAGTTGGGAACCTTCCTCATTTTGGCTGAGGCTGCTAGGAATTTTAGTCGTAAACATCTGGAAGGCATCAGACTGGGTGAGGATGAGGTAAGTCACTATGACTAGCAAAGTGTGTAATGCATTGGTGGCACTACCACCACCACAATAACAACACTGGGATGAAAGGGGTAAAATGAGCTTTTTAGGAGGGTGGCTTTATCCCATATGTTAAATTTATGAAAAAGAAATAACAATATATTTCACATTAACACTCCCATCCTAAATATATTTTCTCTGAAGCAAGTCCTGGTTTGATGGAGCTCATTTTCAAGTGAGTGTGCTTAAGATTGTTAATTTCTAATACCTTTTTCTTCAAGGTGTTATCGTAAAAATCCGAGGGCTCCCTTGGACAAAAAGTAAAGACACCAACCAGAGTAAATTGGAGCAAATCAGCAGCCTGTAGGCTTGGCCTTTATTGAACTGTTGCAACAGGGTGCTCCCCTCACTTGCAGGAGAGAGGAAAGACACAGAAAAATGGTGTGCAAGGCCTTATAAAAACTTTTGAAATTCCCATCCTGTAGGTCAAGCCCACCCCCAGAAACATCATGCATACATTACAGAAAGGAGAGGTTGAGGGAGGAGTTGTGGTGGTAACGTGAGTGTCCTGTCACCTGGCTGGTTCCCTTCTCCCCCTCCCCATGAGTCATTTTCAGAAGACAAAAGGTAGTCGCAGTTTCCTGCCCCCTGAGGGAAGATCTGATCATTGTCCTTTGTTCCTGTCCATGCTGAATCCACTCCCATATGCAAGTTCTTTGTGATCTTGATTGTCTTCTGTCTAGGACCATCAAGGTTGGCATAGCAACTGGGCAGGGCTCCTGTGGATGTGCTGGGATGTTCAAGGGATTATGGCTGGCCTGTATCAAACCTTCCCCATTTTGTAGTCCTTCCTTCATGGAGTAAAATAAAAGTGGAACAGTGCAAATCCGATGTATGGTTGATTTTCTATGAATTTATAACAGAAGCGTAGCATATGCAGTGTGTGATTGTGAGTGTGTGTGAAGTTTGTACAAACTGAATGATGGCGGGGGGGGTTTCCTGCTACAAAGGAAAGTAATCATAGGGAGTGAGTGAAACTACTTGTTCATGGCATGGTTGGCCCCCCACTTCCCCTCTGCCATTGCCTCTGTGTGCATTTTAATTACATGGTGGATAAGGGACTGTGTCTCAACTTGGCTCTTAAACGTTTTCTGGAACATGATTATTTAAGAAATTTATATACTTATTAACCATTCTTATGATTAGCACTGTGCAAGCACGTCCAAGTATCCAAGACTGCTCCTGTTTTTATTTAATCACAGGAAAGAATGCAGGAAATCTGCCTTATAGTGAGACAGACTGTTGATTCATCTAGCTCAGCAATGTCAGTCCTACCTGGAGATGCTGGGGATTGAAACTAAGACCTTCTGCATACAAAGTAGGTGTTATTTCACTGAGCCACAGGTATTCACCAGCCTTTTGATTTGGGGTGTTTCACATAGAATTTGTGACATGCCACATTCATCTGCATAGTGAGCTTTCTTTCCTTTGTGGGGGTGGAGTTTGAATAAATTATATAATTTGATATCACAGGATATATTTAACCAGTAATGGTTAAATATAATCCCGTTTCCATCTTGTGACAAAATGCAGACACCACCCATGGTGCCAATACCAGCCAATTTCCTTGTCCACTACTCCTGGTTTTGCTTACTATCTAGCAACTGGGCATCATCCTCCAATAAAGACACTAGAGGGAGCTCAAAGGCTGCGCACACCACAAGGTGCTCTTACTTCATGAGGTCTTTTATATGGCAGTGCCTTCTCCAAATCATTGCACTTAAGGAACACCCACACTATGCAGTTAAAGCAGAACTATATAACTTCATTAGTCATGGCTTCCCCCAAATAATCCTGGTAGCTGACTACATGGAACTGGCGGAAATGACTGGCAGAATTCGAGACCAGGGAGAAGAGTCGGTGGAAGAAGACTGGAAAAAATTTAAAGTATATCTACAGAAACATTGTAAAATTAATGAGTGTTAGAAGGATGCTGGAATGAAGTTACATGGTTTTAGTAGAAATGTAACAAAGAATTAAGTAAAAGTTGATTGATAATGGGTTAAAATGAAAAAATTCAAGGTTAGATCGTTAAGATAAATTATAGAATAAAAATTGAGAAAGATGGGAAGAACTTGCTGAAATAGTGAATTGAATTAGAATACCAAAAAAGGGAGGTGTGAGGAGGTCGATGAAATAAGTAAAGGAAAGGTAAAGATATGGAATATTGGATGCTTGTTTTAGTTTCTTCTTTGTTTTTCTTTTTTGTTGTATTCTTGTATTGCTTTTATATGTTTTATATGTTTTGTTATTGTTTTTTTCTTTTTTTATTGTTTTTTTTCTTTTTTCTGTAATTTTTAAACTCCTAATAAATATCATTTAAAAAACAACAACAAATAATCCTGGTAGCTGTCACCTGTTAGGAGACCCTTGCTCCTCACAGAGCTTTGATTCCCAGGGTGGTGTAACACTCAATCCTTCTTTACAGGGAACTCTGGAAATTGTAGCTCCATGAGGGTCTAGGGATCTCCTAACAGCTCTAAGCACCCTTAACAAACTACAGTTCCCCCCTCCCCCCCATCTCTCCCTCTCCAGTGCTAGTGAGCACTCTGAGGGATGACAACTCAAGTAGGCAAGAAGGTTTCCCTTCTGTGTGTCTAACTCGCCCTGCTCCAGCTACCCCAAGCATCCTTCTACTGAACCACTTTTCTTTCCCTCTCCTTTCCCTAATCCAATGGTTCTTAAAGGGTGTGGTGTGCCACACTGGTGTGGCACATGTAGCGAGAAGATTCAAGGGCATTGTTTTATACTTTCTGGATGTCTCATGAATATAATATAAAGTAGTTGTGTTTTATCTTCAAGTGCTGCTGGTTGTTGTTTCTTTTTGTTTTCCAATGTGTTTCTTGAGACTTGTTAGGAGGCCCCTATGGCCTTCACAGAGCTACAATTCCCAGCATTCCCTGAGAAGAGGGATTGATTGTTAAGCCACTCTGAGAACTGCAGATCTGTGTAGGGGGTCTCCTAAGGACTCTTAGTGCTCATAAAAACCATGGTTTCCAGGATTCTTAGGGAAGCCATGACTTTTTAAAGTGATATGATCCTGTTTAAAATGTATGGTGCAGATGTGACCTGAACATGTGAATAGAGGCAGGGCCAGTCAAAGATGTTTTGCCACTGTAGATAAAGTGCTTCAATGATCTGGGTCCCCTCTCCAGCCCCTCCCTGTGCAACTGTACCTTACCCTGCACCTGTCATGCGACCATGATACAGTGTGCAGGGTGCAGTGGGCGCAGCAGTGAGAACGGCGTGGGGTCAGCAGCACAGGAAGCCACAAAGGCGCTGGCAGCAGTGCAGTGGTGGAGACTGGGGACAGATCTGATGCCTGGTGTGAATGGCTTCACCTCGCCCCATGTACCTCATGCCCCTGAATGGAGGGCATCGTGTCCAGTGCTGTGTTTGAACTGTGCTACCTCATTTCTAACCTCATGTGAGTCACTGCTCAACATTGCTGTCACTAAGAGATGAGCATGTGTGTGTGAATCATAACTCCAGCTTCCATGGAGCTGGTATACAAACCAAATCAAATCAGGTACAAGCTGGCAGACAGTTCCTTTACCCACTTTTGATGCAGCGAGATGGGAATTGGTGATCTGCCACATGATGCATCACAGATTGGATAGGTCAACCATGGTCTAAGGCCCTGCTCATGCTGGCCCTGCTCATACCCGCTCAGGGTAGCCTTCAGCAACCTGATGCCTTCCTGATGTTTTGGACCACAAGATTAGAACATAAGAAGAGCCTGGTGGATCAGTCCAATGGCCCATCTAGTCCAGCATCCTGTTCTCAAAGTGGCCAACCAGATGTCTTGGTGGGAAACCCCCAAGCAGGACCCAAGCACAAGAGCACTCTCCCCTTCTGTGGTTTCCAGCATCTTGTATTCAGAAGCATTGCTGCCTCCAACTGTGGAGGAAGAAGAAAGCCATTATGGCTAGGCCCCTTCCTCTGTGAATCTGTCCAATTCTCTTTTAAAGCTGTCCAAGTTGGAGGCCATCACTGCCCCTGCATGAGAGAGTTCCAAAGGTGCTCCCTTAAGGACTTCCTTTTCTCAGTCCTGAATCTGTGCTGGCTGAGACTGATGGGAGTTGTTGTTCAAAATATCTGACAGGGTTGGCAAAGGCTACCTCAAGGTACTAGCATGGCCATCCTGCTCTGTCCACGAGAGGAGCTGGCACCTATCTCTCCACAGAAATGTTCAGGGCACGGTGATCTGCTCTCAATTCCACCTAGCTCAGATCTCCCTGGACCCGTCTGGTGGGCTTGTTTTGCCACCTGCCAAGCATCCAAAGTGTCCACAGACCTCTGGATGTGTCCGCGGTCAGTTCCATGAAGGCCTGCCAGCAGGTTATAGATAGACAGCAGAGGCCCGGCCAGCAGGGTATAGATAGAAACACAGCCTCTATTTTTGCCCTTCTTGGTGCAGGTGCCAGAGGAACTGGCCAGCCCAGAGTCAGGATTATTTATAGGGGCTGGTATTTAGGGGGACAGTGCTGCTTTTCCATTTTGCCGTGGGAGAAAGAAAACTGAGATGGGAGAGAGGCGTGGTTGTCGTGGTCCTATAACCAATGCCTCCTCTCTCGTATCCAGCATCGGATCACACTAGGTCACTTGACAGCAGCTTGTAAAACCCTCTGATTGTAAAACTAGACTGAAAAACAAGGTCATCTCTTTCCAGACCTCTCCCGACCGCGCCATGATCCTGTCATTCCTGAATGAATGCCAGGGGACCGAGGGTTCACGGAGCCCTAGTGATGTGGTTACAAAAACCACAAAAAATGGTTCACATGAGCATGTGCAGAGTTCCTTTACACAACTCATTTAGGAATAGGAGTGGGAAGGAGGCTGGGGAGGAGGTTGTTTCCCAAGTGGGCTTGGGTTCTTGCATGTCTTATTGTAGAATGGAATCACATAATCCTGTAGTGGGTGACCGTTGCTGCAAAGTACCTCGGAAATATTTGCTAAATCATCCGCTTTAATATTGGGGGAAGATTGGTTTCTATCTTCTGGCCCACCCCTCTTAAGTGGAAGACCATGCCAAGCTCCACACACACACAGGATAGCAATGGCCTGACTACAGATAATTCATCCCATAAACAACAAATCATTTTGAACAGTGCAGTGTTCTACAAAACAGCAGTGATTTATATTGGGCAAACCTAAATTAATTCTCTTAAGTGGTAGTGAGGAAGGACATGTGGCTGGTTGGTGTGTGACTTCCATCGCTGTCACTGTTCCACTCCATCCTCATCCTTTGCAAGGTTCTGGGGTACCTCTGGGTCTCCACCTGGGACTTCACTCAAAATGGCAAGGAAATGGCAGAATAACTTTCCAACAGTTAAGAGCTGTTTGACAGTGGAACAGACTCCCACAAGAAGTGGTGGCCTCTCCTTCCTTGGAAGCTTTTAAGTAGTGGGTGGATGGCCATCTGCCATGGATGCTCTAGTTGAGGTTCCTGCATTGCAGGGGGTTGGACTGGATGACCCTTCCAGCTATATGGTTCTATGACAGTTGTGCCATGGGTTCATCACCTAGGTGCGTTTAGGAGGCCCTGTGAGGATAACATTTTGAGAAACAGTGTGATGTAAGGTTAGAGTGTTAGACTACAACCTAAGAGACCAGGGTTTGAATTCCCACTCAGTCATGAAGCTCCCTGAGTGTGGCCTTGGGCCAGTCTCCATCTCTCAGGCTAACCTGCCCTCACAGGGTTGTTGTGAAGATGAAAAGGGGAGGAAAAGAACCATGTAGTGAGCTCCTTGGAGGGAAAGGTGGGATATAAGTAAAACGAGCAATAATGCAGAAAAATAGCTGCCATTTCTTTGCTTTGTCTTGACGGTGTGTTTTTATGGGGTGGCTAAAACAGTTTCCCTCTTGACCCAAGGAGGCCCCAGCCCTGTCAGAAAAGCTTGTGGACAAAAGAGCAGGCGAGAGCATCAGGTACACTTTCCAGCTCAACGCTGCCAGGGACGAGTGGAAAAACTCATCCATTCATTCCAGCTCAACGCTCCCTCCTTTGGCCCAGCTCAGCGGATTGGTGGCTGGCCGGCTGGCCGTCTGCCTGGACCCCCCACCGGCCCGGCAGCCCTGCACTATATTTATCAGCACTTTCCATCTGCCACATGAAGAAGAGAGGAAACATTTGAGCTTATTTTAGACCCCACAACATTCTTTCCTGCTCTGGCCCTCGGACGGACAGGTGGAACGACTGTATTTAGCCACTTGGGGGCTGAAAATAGAAGGGCCCGTTTACAACGCAGTTTCCTTTAGGCAACTCCGCACCCTATTTACGTACTCCGGCGAAGGAGAATGTTGTCCTCGTCCCCATTGCCCAAATTATAAATATTAACGTGGCTTTGCCAGGCTGACATCATTGCTCCAGCGAGCCTCTCCTTCCTCTTAATAGCCCATTCTTGGGAGAGAGAAAGAGATGCTCAAATAGAAAAGGAAAGGCGCAGACCACTGGGAAGACATGAGCAATGGATCCGAGGATGCATGAAAGAATGAACTTTGCCTGGGAACACAGAAAGCTGCCTTATACAGACTCGGACCACTGGCCCAACTAGGTCAGTATTGTCTACACTGACAGGCAGCTGCTCTCCAAGGCTTCGGAAAGCTGGATGATGTGTGAATGGTCCAGTATAAGCCATTGATCAGTGCATCAATGACATATTGCAAAAAACACCACCATCCATCTGGAGGGGTCCAGAGTTGAGTCTTTCAACACTGTGGATTCTAAAACCATAGAAGGCTTGGGTATTTATTAGTCTCATGAGAACAGGGGTGTAGCAAGTCATGTCCCCTTTCTCACTGGTGAAATAGTGGAAGGTGTAAGAAGAGCATTCCTGATTACAGATAGCAGCACAATAATAAGGGACACACTCAATGAAAAATGGTGTCACTGAAATCATTTGGAATAGTTTTATTGGGCTTCTTGGGGAGGTGGGGGGGGGGGGTCATGAGGCGCTCTCCAAACCCAAAGGAATAACAAAAAATGTACACAAAACAGAGAGAAACAGCAGCAGAGAATTTTTTTGTTTCTTACTTTCAGCAATGCCAAGTCACTGTTCTGTAGCTCCCCTCCTCCACAACCCCACCCCAAAGGTTCAAGGAAGGTGAATCTCTATGAAGCTAATCCAGAATTCTTTGCTCTACCTCCTTGAGAGCAGGGGATACAGGCCTTGCTTTTGGTAATGTGCGCATGAACACAAGGGACAAAGGGACACCCTTGCTACTGTCTCTCCTGTTGCATCACCCCTTCAGCAGCAGGCAGAACATAAGAAGAGCCCACTGGATCAGGCCAGTGGCCCATCTAGGTCAGCATCCTGTCCTCACAGTGGCCAACCAGATGTCTGTGGGAAGCAGGACCTGAGCTCAAGTGAGCACTTCCCGTCCTGTGGTTTCCTTCAACTGGTATTCAGAAGCAACACTGCCTCCAGCTGTGCAGTTTAAACAGGAGGTTAAAGTGCATTAAGGAGTTATTAAGCTGAAGGGAAAGCAGTAAGAGAATGGGGTATGCAGAGATAAAAGGAATCAAGTGTAGCCAATCATGTTTTACTCAGAGCTGACCCACTGAAAGTAACAAATCCAGGATAGTCATGCCCATTAATTTAAATGAGTCTACCCAGTATGATCAATACTGGATACAACCCAGTAGCTTGGAAAACAACAACCAACAAATTTCCTCATGGGAACAGATTTAAATGGGTGGTGTTGAGCAAGTATATACTGGATCTGCCAAGCCCAGGTGGATTATTCTTTACAAAAACTTCAGTGTTTGTGGAAACCCACTCAAGCCTAAAAGGGAAAGCTGGGCAGAGGAGCTGTAAATTGCGGCAGCTGAAGGTCACTCCAGGCCTCCATACTCCCAGGAAACACTGATTGGTATGATGTCCCTGGAAACAGACCTTGGATCAGATGAGAAGGAGTTGCAGCAGATCTCCCACCACAGGCGCTTGAGAAGCCATCGCTATTTGGCCATTGCAGCTAGGGAGGCCCAGTCTGGAATCATTCCCTGCTCTCTTTTGGAAATTTGGGAGACCAGAAGGCAAGCTTCTGGAAACGGGAAGGTCCCACATCCATGATCGCAAAGCAACTGCGATGGGGAGCTGGAAGAATACAGGACACCCCAATAACAGTCATCCAAGAATGGGGAGCTTAAAATTCATGCAAAAGACCCAAAGGTGGACTCAGGCAGAGGATCTTTTGTCCTGGGTTTCCTCCTGACACCATCCCAGAGAGCAATGCAGAAATGAAGAGGCCTCCTCAACTCCCTAGTGACCAAGCAGGCTAGCAGCTAAGGGGATGCACCACCAGCATGCAAATGACACCATTTGGATGGATAAACAACAGCACAATAGGAGGAGACACATTTGCAGAAGGACTCCAGAGGATTTAACGCCAGCCTAATATGGAGGCCCCTTTGCTGTTTTTTCAAAACACACAAGAGTAATGGGGCCATATAACTTTCTGTTTCCTAAACTTAGATGCACCTAGATCTTGCTGCAACCAAGAGGTCAAGCCACACACTCTTTGGAGTGGTGGGTACCACCCACTTGCAGAATCTGAATCAGAAGAAGAAGAAAACACACCCAACTTCTGCTGCAGGACGCGACTCCAGGCTCCACTGCTACAGATCTTCAGTCGTCTGGGGCTCTCCTCCTAACCTCCACAAGTGGTCTCAGGTTACGTTTTCCAGGTAGCCAGCCAAGCTCAGCATGGCTCTCAGGTTGCAGCAGGGCAGCAGGCTGTCTCCTCATGCCTCAGGAGCAGGGACATCCGGGAGAAGGTCTTCAGGCAGGTGTGGCATTGGTATTTCTTGATGTCGGAATGGGTCTGCAGGTGGGCGCGGAGGTTGGAGCGGTCGGCAAAGGCTCGGCTGCAGTGCGAACAGGCGTAGGGCTTTTCACCTGGAAAGGGAGGCCAGAAAGAAAGACGGATGAGCAGGCAATGCCAGGGCTGTCGTAGGACCTTGAACCTGGATTGGTAGTAGATGGGCAGCCAGTGAAGATGCTGTAGCAACAGAGTCGCATGTTGTCATCTAGATGCCCCACCTGGCCAGCACATTCTGCACCAGAGCTGGAGCTTCCAAACCAGACCCAAGGGCAGCCCCCCTCCCCAGTACACTGCAGTAATCCAGCCTCAAAGTTACCAACACATGGGCTGTAGGCTATCCCTGTCCAGGAACTGCAACAGCTGGTGAACCTGATGAAGCACTCCTAGCCACAGAGGACACCTTGACCTCAAGTGATAAAGATGTATCCAGGAGTACCCTCAAGCTATGCACTTTCTCCATCATAAGGAGTGCAACTCCATCCAGAACAGGTAACCTGCCTATCTCCTGAATGTGGGAACCACCCACCCTATCTTCCCAGGATTCAAGCAGTTTATTGGCCCTCATTTGTTCCACCACTACGTTCAGAAACTAATTCAGAACTTTCATTGTCTCTCCCGATTCCAATGTTATGGTGAAGTAGTGCTTGCTGCATGCCATCAGTGCACTGGTGACACCTTGCTCCAGAACCCCAAATGATCACCTGTGACAGCTTCATATAGATGCTAAACAGCACTTGGGAGAGGACAGTTCCCTGCAAAACTCCATAGCACAAGTGCCAGGGGGCCAAGGAGCACTCCCCCAGTGCTACTCTAGGAATATGGCCTGAACATTTATTCATTTATTTCTTACATCTATATGCTATCTTTTCCTCCAAGGATTTCAAGGTAATGTACATGGTTCTCCCCTCCCCATTCTATCCTCACGTCCTATGAGGTAACTTAGGTGAGAGACAAGAAACTGACCCAGCCAGCTTCATGGCTGAGTGGGGATTCAAACTCTGATCTCCCAGGTCTTAGTCCAATGCTCTAACCATTACACCATACTGGCTGTACCCAAGGATGGAGAACCTGTGACCCTCCCATCATTTTATTTATTTAGACCATGGGTAGGCAAACTAAGGCCCAGGGGCCGGATCCGGCCCAATCACCTTCTAAATCCGGCCTGTGGACAGTCCAGGAATCAGCATGTTTTTACATGAGTAGAATGTGTCCTTTTATTTAAAATGCATGTCTGGGTTATTTGTGGGGCATAGGAATTCGTTCACCCCCCCAAATATAATCCAGCCCCCCCCCAAAGGTCTGAGGGACAGGGGACCGGCCCCCTGCTGAAAATGTTTGTTGACCCCTGATTTAGACCATTTCTATACCACTTTAGTACAGGAAACTAGAGCAGTAAATGTTACAAAAATACACAGTATAACCATCTGTCTGTCTGTCTATCTATCTATCTATCTATCTAATCTCTCTCCCTTTTCCTTCTGGCACAATCTCCTCAATGAAAACCTCGCAGCCTCCTGGCTCTCACCTGGGACTCCACCCATCCACCCTGGCTCTTACCAAGGGCTCAAACAAACTCACAGATCACTCCCCTCCAAAACTGGACAACCAAGAGGGTTCCTGGAACCTGCTGACCTCACCCTCATGTCTCACCCTTGGTTTGCATCTATGGGCTTGATAGAGCTTCCTCAGACTGCATCTCATTCAGCACTCAATCAGCAGCATGGCTCATATCCAGCCCCAAGGCTTAGCAGCCTTTGTGAGTTTTCCAGAGGTCCCAAGGATGGCAGCTAGGGTATCCCCTTCCACTAACTATTCTTTCTCAGGCCACTGCACAGCTCTCCTGTTCCATCATCCCCAACCATTGGCCATGATGGCTGGGGCTGATGGGAGTTGGAGTCTAACAATATCTGGAAGCCACTGGGCCTCCCATTCCTAATATAAAACAAAGATGGGCTTGACACAGTGACTTTCTCTCACAGTGGGCATCCCTGCACTACAAACTTTATTTTATTATAACATTTTGATTGAAAACACATTGCTAAACTGCTTACTATTTAAAAAACCCCAAACAGCTTACAAAAACCCAGACATAAAAACAGTATCATAAAAACACAGATTAAAAAAAGAAATGAAGCAGAAATCTAGTAATAGCAGGGGTCCAATCTCACGGGGCCAGGAAAAGTCTTTACATATTTATTTTTACAATTATAGTCCACCTTCCTCCAGTGAGCTCAAGTTGACATACATAGTTCTCCTTTTCCTCCTCATTTTATCCTCAAAAGAACCACCCTGTGAGGCAGCTTAGGCTGAGAGACAGTGACTGGCCCAAGGTCACCCAGTGAGCTTCATAGCTGAGTGGGGATTTGAACCCTGGTCTCCCAGATCTTAGCCCAACACTCTAACCACTACGCCACACTGGCTCACAGCTGTTCAGTTGTAGCTTGCGAACAACTTCAGTGGCAATGCCCTACACTGGAGTTATTCATGCAAGTCTGACGCAGTATTTACATAAAAACATCTGACGGGCTCAGCTGGATTGGAATGAGGTTCCCTCCAGCATAACAGTTCTCAGCTGCTCTTGAGTGACCTTTCCCCTTTATACACTTCTGCCCAGTGAATCATGAAAGGGCCCTGCTGGATCAGAGCAAAGGACCCTCCAGCCTAACAGTCTGTTCCCAGAAGTAGCCAGCCAGGTGGTGGAGGGTGGTGGAGGGACAAAGCAAGTCCTGGTAGCAACAGCTTGCAGTTGTGGTTTGTTCTCCCAGCAACTGGTATTCAGAGGTACTCTGATTTAACAGGAATTTTTAAAAACAGTGAGTCAAAGGCTCTTGTACATGTTTCTTTGTATAGCAAATTCCACTTGCACACTGAGAAAATAGGTGGACAATGCTATAAAAAAAATCCCGAGTTATCCATCCCAATTAAGTCAGAGCTTAATTAAGGTTGAGGTTCACTCCAGCTTAGGCCCAGAACCCATTTACAAATCCAGAGCTGAGCGCTGGTTCAGGTGACTTAACAAGATGAGTGCCTCTCTGAACATGTGCAGAGTGCATTTCAAGAGAAGGCTGGTGAAATGGTTAGAATCTCAGGCTAGGACAGGGGAGACCTAGTGAAGTTCATTGGATGAGCTTGGGTCACTGACCAACTCACTCTTGCCTTCCATACAGGGTTATTGGGAGGATAAAATGGGGGAAAGGGTGGCCTATATACAGTGCCAGCCAACTTGGGTCCTACAACTGGCAGGTGAGGATGCCCAGTTGGCATTGACCCATGACAGGGTCTTTTCAGTGATGGTTCCCCAGTTGTAGAATGTCCTCCCTAGTAAAGTACGCTTGTCTCCATCATTACTAACTTCAGGAAGAATTTGAAAACATACCAAGGCATTTGCAGGCTGAAAAATAGTATTCCTGGCAACCTTGTGATCGTTGGATGGAATAATGTCTTTAACGGCAATTGCTTTTGGAAAATGTTTTTAACTGAAACTATTTTTAATTTTAATTGTTTTCAGAATGTTTCAACTGTTGTAGAATCTTTCTGCTTTGTTCTTAAATAGTGTATCTGCGTGCTGCCCTAGGGTAGGGTAAATAATAAACAGCAAATAGAAGAAATAAATAGAAACTCCTTGCACCAACATCAGAGGCAACATTTATCACAGCAGAGTGTGAGGGCCCAACAGTCCCCCCCAGCCACACCAAAATGCAAGTGTTCTCCAAACCTCCCCCCACTTGCTCTCCTTTCTTTTCCATGCACATTTGCCCCCTTCCTCAAGGTCACCCCCTACCTGTGTGTGTCCGGATATGCCCCTGCAGCAGCCAGGGCCGGGAGAAGGCTTTACCGCAGATCTTGCACATGCAAGGCAGCGTGTGGGTGCGGATGTGCATCTTGAGGGCGCCCAGGCTGGCGTACTCCTTGTCGCAGTGCTTGCAGTTGAAATACTTCCTTGCCGTGGTTGCCTGCAGCTTGCAGCGCTGCTGCCTGTGTCGGGCCAGGCCTGAGAAGGTGCTGTAGGCCTTGCGGCAGTCTGGACACTCAAACGTCTCCAGGGGGTCGGCAGCTATGCCTTGTGGCCCCTGCAGTTTGTCTCCATTTCCCTCTGCTGGGCTGCCCAGGTTGGGAGTCCTCCTTTGGAACAGGCTGAATGCCAACGGGAGATTGAGGTTGTTCTGGTTATCACGCAGAGGGGTGGCAGAGCCCCAGCTGCCTCCAGGGCTGCTCCCAGAACCCACTTGGGAGCTCGATGTGGGCTCCCCTTTGGCTTCACTGCTCTGTGGGAGAGGTGGGGACAGGCAGGCAATGGCAGAACTGTGGTCCCAGAGGCTACCAGCTTCATAGGGGGCTGCCGGACAAGGCGTGCCATCTTGACTGAGGACGGGGAATGCTGCCCCTCTCCAGGAGTGGCACAATCCACTGGATTCTGGGGGGAGACACACAAAACAAGTAAATAAAAAGCAGCCATTGTTCCTCAAAAACCTCTTCGCCAAGATGCTCACGAGATTATTATTGAGCTCACCCTTATGAATACCGTAAAGCAAATACTATCCTGTCCCAAAGAGGCAACACTTGGCATTTTTAAAATATCTGCATGCCACCTCCTAATCTTGGCATTCTTTATCTGTGTACAAAAGGGTTCAGTGCAAGGGTAGAGGGACCCTGGCTACCTAACCTGGAAAAGTTGCTGTTTGAGTGAAATCTACCCTCCAGGCCACCTTTTACACATCACACTTTACCACAAGGAGGACACTGAGAACACCCCCCACCCCACCCTATGACAGCACAACAGGTTTTTCACACCAATGCTGTGACATGGTGCCCCCGCCTTTCCATGCGTCTTATTTATGCACACCACAGCATGTTCAGTTGCCAATAGGTGCCACTAACTGTGTGGAAACTTTTGACACCACGTAGTCAACTACACCACACACCCAGGGAAGCTATTTTGATGTGACAAAGGTACAGGATAAATGACTCCAAAACTCACCAAGTAGACATTCTCATATAATCATGTACTGAAGTGTGTCTGGCAGTGAGAAGGAAAACCTCCTTTTGCCCTGGCATCCACTCTATGGATTTCTGGGGCTGTGCAAATATTAGGCACTCCCCACCCATTTTCTTTTAAAAATAATCTTAGCAGTTTAACAGTATTTACAGCAGAAACACTTTTTAGTGTCCTGGAGTTAATATATTCTCTCCACTGTTGGCTTTCGTAGGTTTAGATTCCTCTTTCTGAACCTAAATGTTGCATTTATTCAGGCTTTCTTGTTGAGTGAGGTCTGGTTGTTAATGTTTGGCCTACGATGTTTCATTCCTCTTATTTTAAAAACTGTCTATTTTTCTTCCAAGCTGCCTATGGGCATTTTGCATTCGACAAGGAATAACGGCAATTGCATACATAGAAATGTGAGATAGAATGCAGAAATAATCGCTGCTAGATGAACTTTTTTTAAAAAAACCAAAAAAAACACCGAACGTATTTATTATACTTGAGAACTCAGATGGGGTGGGTGAGGGGAAATAAACCCCTTTTAAAATCCGCGCGCGGGCCCCCTCCCCAGCACGCTAAGAAAAAAGCAGCCGGGTAAAAACGAAGGCCACAGTCCGAAACACACTTACTAGAGAGTCAACGCCATTGAGCGCAAAGGAACTTACTTCCGAGCAGACACGTATAGGCTTGTGCTGCAAGTTAGTTTTCTATTTCCAAGCGCACTTCAAGCAGCAAAAGGGACTCTAAAAACCCATCCCCATCACGCAACCCTAGGCGGGCATAATTGGGACAAAGCCCCTGCGGAGCTTCCTTCTGAGTAAACAAGCGCAAGAGCGCGCCGCTCGGGAGTTTGAAGCGCAAAAGGAAACCGGTCGGAGATAAAAATGTGGAGAGGGAAGGGAGACGGCCCGCTCTATAGACCGGGGCAGGGAGTCGGGGCAAGGAAAAGCGCTCGAGGAGAGCTGCGAGAAGGGAAAGCTGGAAGGACCCGTCGTGGGCAGCGCGCTTACTGCCGCTCAGCTTTCCAAAGCGCGCCGTGCGCCCTGGGCGCAAACCACTTCGCCCTTCCTTACCTTGGCGGCGCGTCTCCAGCTGGCCGTAGTTGGGGACGCGAGTGCTGGAGGGCTTCTTGACCAAGAAGGAGCGCGGCATGGCGAGCGGAGAGTCCCGGCGAAGCGAGCCGACCGGGCAGGTGCAATAAACCCGCGGGCTCATTAGCATGGGCTTCCCGCCGAGCCAACCGCCGGCCGAGGGGCCGTCCTTGGCCGCCTCCGCCGGGGCCGCCCTCCTCGCGGCAGGTGCAAAGCCCAAGGGGCGGCCAGGACCATGACGCCGGGGAAGCCCCGCGGCGGGCTCGCTCGGGGCAGAGGAGGGGATCACCTTGAATCCTCCCGCTAGCTTCCAAGGTTAAGGTGTCCAAACTCCGGCTAGGCGAGGACAGCTTCTCCCGCCACCCCTCGCGTAAAGGAAAAGCACGTCGGCCACTTGGTCCCTACACGGTGTGGTGCAGTCAAGGCAGTAGTCCAGGGCTCGCTCAGCGCAGCAGCAGGGCTTTATCTGCCACGTCTGAAGAAGAGCCCCTCTGGGTCAGAGCAAAAGCCCATCCAGGCTTTCACAAGCCTAGCCGACAACCAGGAGCCCACAAGCAGGGCAGGAGGGCGAGAAGAGCCTCTCCAAATCACCCCGGCAATGGTTATTCAGAGGCACAAGAATACAGTATAGGCCAGCTGGACCAGAGCCTTGGCTTATCTAGCTCAGTATTGTCTACACCAGGGGTAGGCAACCTAAGGCCCCTGGGGCCGGATGCGGCCCAATCACCTTCTAAATCTGGCCCTCGGATGGTCCGGGAATCAGCGTGATTTTACAGGAGTAGAATGTGTGCTTTTATTTAAAATGCATCTCTGGCTTATTTGTGGGTCCTGCCTGGTGTTTTTACATGTGTAGAATGTGTGCTTTTATTTAAAATGCATCTCTGGGTTATTTGTGGGGCATAGGAATTCGTTCATCCCCCCCCCCCCATATAGTCCGGCCCACCACATGGTCTGAGGGACAGTGGGCCGGCTGACCCCTGGTCTACACTGACTAGCAGCGGCTTCCCAGGTTGTCAAGCAAATAATTTTTTCTAGCCCTACCTGGAGATTCTGGGGAGGGGATTGAACCTGGGACCATCTGCCAGCAAAGCAGATACTCTAACCATTGAACCACAGCCCTTCACAAAGCAGGCAAGAGGGTTTTTGTTTCCCAAAGCAGCTGCGGTTGTCTGTGCACTTATCCCACTTGAGTAAGTAGATTTATTTTGGGGAGGGGGGCAGGTTTTGTGTGGATTTGAAAATCTGCAAAGTCTATTTGAATGCTGACAAAAGTGTCAGCAGGATAAAAGAAGTGTGCATATGGCACAAGAAGCAAGCAAAACCTCTCTCAAAAAACTCCCAGGGCCCTTTTGGAGGTGTGGCCATGCTAGCTGGGGGTGAGGAGAGTTGTCCTCCAAACAGTGGAAGGCACCAGGTTCTAGAAGGCTGGTCTTATATCTTTCTATGCAGGCGTAGATACATCTGCCAGCTGAGGACAACATTAATGCAGCAAACGAAAGTGACCACTCTTCCATAATGAAACTGGTGTGTTTTTAAGATGCCACAATGTTCCTTTTGAATTTTGCTGCAACAGACTAGCAGAGTCTCACCCTTCTGGGCACATCTCTTCTGAGGACAGGGAATGAGCCAGGTGCAGTTTGGAGGTGCCTGCTCTGCCCCACTCACACTTCATTCACTCCAAACAGCCACATCCCATCTCCCTACAGCAGCAGTGGGAAGCGAATGTGGCCCTGCAGAGCTTTCCATCTAGCCTTCTGAAGTCATGCCCCTCACTGGCCCAGGTTCACATCCTGCTTAAGTGTTTTTGCCTGGCTGGAATGTGCCCTTGAACTCGGATCATGCCCCTTGCTTGTCAGGATGGACAGAAATGTGTGTAGAAATGGTACACTGCACATGCTCAGAGGCTACACATAATCTTTTTTGGGCTGCATGCTGGCTCAGGCTGAGCCCTGAACACACTTAATTTGTCAGGGACGGGGATCAATTCTCCTCTCCTCCCTCCTTGGGCTTTAGCTTGTAAAATGCAGACCCAGTCTTGGCCGAGTCAGATGGAGGCCTTCTTTCCACCCTGGGCCTGCTTAACCTCTGTCACCACCTCCTCACCCCACCCCCTGCCCCATTGCTTCACTGAGAGATCTCTGGGGCTTAGGGGATATTTGCAAACCCCTTTGAAGCATGGCAGTGAGATGGGGGTGAGATAAGCATTATCGGGAAGAGCTCAGTCCCATAAACTTACTCACCTTGCCATTGTGTCTCAGAATTCCTCCTGCTGCAGTTTGCTTGCTGGAGAATCAGTTGAGAAAACAGACACTTATGTGATCTTGCTCCTCCCTGACTGCCTTCTGCTACTGGTTTACCCAGGCAGGGTGGGGCAGGGGAAGAGAGCTTTGTTTTTCATTTCAAATATATGCCAAAGGCCAGTGGCTAATTTTTAGGAGCAGAGGAAATGGGCCTATATCAAGTCAGACCATCAGGACAATTTACTCCAGCCTTTGGTGGGATTTAGTTGGCCTGCTCAAGATCCTTGGGTTATGAATGGCTGCTGTATTGTGCTTTCCTCTTTATGAGGATTTTTTAAAGAAATGTTGATGAGTTTGTTTTGGATGTAGGTTTCATAATGTTTAACTGTGTAGCATTGATGCCTTAAGAGGATCTTTGTGAACCAGCCTGGGATCTGTTTTAATGAAGGGCAGTTTGCAAGTTCCATAAGTGAATTAATATAATGTTCACTGACCGGCAGCAGTAGCTCTCCAGGGTTTCACAGAATCATAGTATTGTAGTGCTGGAAGGACCGCAAGGGTCATCTAGTCCAACCCCTGCAAGGCAGAAAACTTTTACCCAACATGGGGCTCAAACCCACAACCCTGAGATTAAGAGTCTCATGCTCTACCAACTCAGACAGAGAAGAGTCTTTCCCAGCCCTATCTGGGAATGCAGGGGATTGAACCTGGTACCTTCTGCAATCAAAGCACGTGCTCTAATCTACTGGACTATGGCCCCTCCAAACACCTTTTTAAAAGGTGCAGGTGTTTAAGTCTGGAAGCAGTGCTGAGATTATGGAGGGGACAGAGGGGGCCAGTCTCCATCGCCTTTTTGTGATGTCTGCTTTAACTCTTGCTTGGATAAAGCTACAGAGTGACATGATTTTCTAGATCCATTTCAGTCAGGGTTTAGGGCCGGTTTTGGCACAGAAGCTGCTTTGGTTGCCCTGTATGATGACGTATGTCAGGAGAGAGATAGGGGAAATGTGCCCCTGTTAATTCTCGTTGGCCTCTCAAAGGCTTCAGATACCATCAACCAAGATATCCTTCTGGATTGGCTTCTTTTTGTTTTATTCTGTATTTTGTGTTCTCATTTTGTATTTTTATGTTGTGAACTGCCCTGTGATTTTCAGACTAAGGGTGGTATACAAAATAAGAAAGTAAGTAAGTAAGATATTGCTAAAACTGGAGGGAGTCAGGAAGTAGGGTATGGGGGTTTCATTGAAGACACCTGCCTTCCCACCCCCTCCCCAGAAGAAGAAGAAGAGGAGTTTGGATTTGATATCCCCCTTTATCACTACCCTAAGGAGTCTCAAAGCAGCTAACATTCTCCTTTCCCTTCCTCCCCCACAACAAACACTCTGTGAGGTGAGTGGGGCTGAGAGACTTCAGAGAAGTGTGACTGGCCCAAGGTCACCCAGCAGCTGCATGTGGAGGAGCGGAGACTCAAACCCGGTTCCCCAGATTGCAAGACTACCGCTCTTAACCAGTACACCACACTGGCTCTCTTTGAAGCACTGCCCAGTTGCCTACCCCCTGCTACAGGGATGCTTGAGAACAGATGGGAAATAGCAAGGGTGAAGACACCCTGCTTCAGAGTCCTTTGACAAAGGAAGCCTTCCTTCTTCTGCAGTCCTATTGCCTGACTTTACAGTCTTTTTCATAGGTCTGATGTCAGGAAGGGCTATAGCTCAGTGATAGAGCAGCTGCTTTGCATGTAGAAGGTCCTAGGTTCAATCCCTAGCACAGGCATAGGCAAACTCGGCCCTCCAGATGTTTTGGGACTACAACTCCCACCATCCCTGACCACTGGTCCTGTTAGCTAGGGATGACGGGAGTTGTAGTCCCAAAACTTCTGGAGGGCCGAGTTTGCCTATGCCTGCCCTGGCATCTGCAGGTAGGGTGGAAAAGACAACCTGTCTGAAAATTTGCGGAGCTGCTGCCAGCCAGTGCAGGCAATACTGAGTGTGGGTTTGACTTCACCTGAGGCAGCTTTCTCTGTTCCTGTGAAGACAGCGATTGTCATACATAGCAAACGGAATGAGCAATTGGTGCCATCTGCCTACGGCCAGGAGTTTCTGTCAAGAAGCTTTGAATACCACTCTAGCAATGTGTTAAGCAGGTTCTAGCAAAGTTTCCTCTTCATTTAGTAAAGGCCACTTGCTGCCTTTTAACATTGTCCTCCTAGGTTCCTTTTAGCACCCAGCTACAGAGCCCCAGGCTGCCTGCACTGACCCCTCTGACATCAGAGCAACGGAGCGATGGCAGGCAGAGGAAGCATGACACCTCTTCGTGCCCAGGTCCCCGACCACATCAGAAAAGCCCACTAGCCACTTCCTGCCAGACGACGCATGCAGCCTACACGACCTGTAAAGGTGCTAGTGCCACATTCGAACATTTGGTTCTTAAAGGCGTCATGGCATTTTCTCACTTTGATGACACTGTTACATTTCTAGAATTTTGCTCCGTGAATAGGCGGTATAAAGACAGAAGAATCTGCCTCGCAGGCACCTGCCAAAAGGTCTCATCTATGTCTAGCCCAAAGTGAGATGACTAAAGTTTTTGCTGGCAAATTCAATTCAGAGCAGACTCAATCAAGAGTGGGGTTATCTTTCTCCCATCAGAAAAGGACTGTCCCCATTTCAGCGTTAAATCAATCATTTCTTGCTTGGCGGATTCATCACCAATGCCTACTGTTAAAAAAGGCCTGGTTTTTTTCTTGTGTTTGTTTGTGCTCTACAGGGAAATGTGACAGTTCCATATTCCTACCTCTAGCATTCCACCCCCCACCCTGGCCCTTCAGCTTCCATTGCCTACAACTCATTTTCTCTGAATCGGGGTGTGTGTGTGTGTAATGGTTTGTGCATCTAGCACAAAGATGTCTGCAGGAAACCCTCAAGCAGGACCCCAGCACAAGAGCACGCTCCCTGTGGTTTTCAGCGATGGGCATTCAGAAGCATTACTGCCTCCGACCAACCATGGCGGCACAGCATAGTCATATTGGCTAGTAGCCATTGACAGCCTTAAACTCCACGAATTTGCCTAATCCTCTTTTTAAAGCCATTCAGGTTGGTGGCCATCACTGATTCCTGTGGCAGTGAGTTCCATAGTTTAACTATGTGCGGTGTGAAGAAGCACTTTTTTAATCTGTCCTTATCTTCTAGCGCGGGTGGCGCTGTGGGTTAAACCACAGAGCCTAGGACTTGCTGAGCCGAAGGTCAGCGATTCAAATCCCCACGACGGGGTGAGTTCCCGTTGCTCGGTCCCTGCTCCTGCCAACCTAGCAGTTCGAAAGCATGTCAAAGTGCAAGTAGATGAATAGGTACAGCTCTGGCGGGAAGGTAAACGGTGTTTCCATGTGCTGCTCTGGTTCACCAGAAGTGGCTTTGTCATGCTGGCCACATGACCTGGAAGCTGTACGCCGGTTCCCTCGGCCAATAAAGCGAGATGAGCGCCGCAACCCCGGAGTCGGTCACGACTGGACCTAATGGTCAGGAGTCCCTTTACCTTTAATCTTCTAGCATTTAATTTCATTGAATGACCATGAGTTCTACTGTTGTGAGACCACGAGAAGAACTTTCTCTATCCACTTTCTCCATACCATGCATCACCATCCCTGACCATTGGCCATGCTGGCTGGGGCAGATGGGAGTTGTTGTCCAACAACATCTGGAGGTCCACAGATGTTCCCCCACCCCTGCTTTATGATGCCACCATAAAGCGGTGAGTCTTTAAGGAGTCCAAAGACTCATTTCTTGTGTTGATTCTCTTATGCAGTCACCACGCCTTAACTGACCCAACAGCAAAGCCTTCCCCATTCTCCCTCCTCCATCCAGACCCAGTGACCAGCAGGAAATGACTGCTTGTACCAAAGTCACTCAGAACAAATATTGGCTCAGACGCAAGAGATGGGGAAAAGCTGTTCTCAGAAGGGTCATCTCCTGGGTTGTCGAACAGCAAGCCTGAGAAGCAGATCTAAGGGGGGGGGGGAATGAAGAAAGGACGTATGGGGAGGAGCAAAGGCCACACTCTCTGACCTGAGTTGACAATAATGAGGAGACTGCTCTGTACATGCTCAGAGGTGCTGCCATGTTAATGTAGGAACAAAACAAAAAAAGTTGCTTTATATAAGATCTGGCCTATTTATACATCTGCCTAGTCTCCAGTGGTTCCTTGGGGTCTCAAGCAGCTCCTTCCATCCCCACATCACCTGTTAGTGGATCCTTTGATCTCAGAGATGAGGAACCTGTGGCACTCATTTTCCCTGACTTTTAGCCATGCCAGCAGCAGGAGCTCATGGGAATTTGGAGCCCAACAAGATCTGAGCGTGTGTAGATGTTCCTAATCTGTTTGGAAATAGCAAAGTGAGGCAGTGCGCTTCTTCGATGGCATGATTGTCCCTTCCTAAACATCCCGGCATGGAGACCTGAAAAAGGGCTCTTTAGAAATAGGGACAATAGCCATACAGACATTTCTTTGCCTTCTATTCCAATCCTCAGTAGCTACTTCACCTTGCTGAACTCTGCCCAGAAGTAGTCAGGGCGCTGCTGGACTGTGTTATACTTACTGGGGTGGGGAAAGCGATAAGAAGTTTGCTTGATGCAAAGTTGTCCAAGCAGAGCCTCTGGTGCCAGTCAGTGTAGACAACAGTGATTGCCAATGGACTTTTTCACTGGAGATGCTGGGGATGGAACTAGGGGCTCCCTGCATGCAAAGCAGCTGATGCTCCCTCCCATGAGATACAGGCCCGCTTCTGTGACACTGGGAGTTCAATGGCACATCCTTGGTATGGCATATACTGAACTTTCCAATCCCCCCCCCCAGCTGGTTTGGACTACAGCCTCTATCAGCCCCAAGCAGCACAGCCAATGGGCGCTGTTGTCCAAACCAAATAGAGGGCATCAGGCTGCGGAAGGCTGTTGAATGTTAAATAAGCATTTACAGTGTGTTTCCAAAGGACTTCATATAGATCAGGGGTGGGAGATGTTTGTCTCTCCAGATGTTGCTGAACAGCCGCTTCCGTCAGGCACAGGCAGCATGGTCAATGACTAGGGATGATAGTTGTTCAGCCACCTGTGGAGGGGCAAAGGTTCCCCACACATTACCTAGCTGTAATCCTTACTCCACCCTTGTAAGGTAGGCCATAAAACATGGGGGAGGCCAAGGCTACCTACAAAGCATTCATGGCAGAAGTCACATTTGAAGTGAGGAATGGCTGGCTTGTAGCTCAGTTGCTTAGGCTGCAATCCTGTACACATGGAAGCCCCAGTGGGTCTTACTGTTAAAGTACGCATAAAATTGCATCAGTCGCTATGTAGCACCAGCTGTCCAGCATTGGCATTAGTCCATACAGCTCTACAGGTGTTCCAAGTTGGCAGTGTTAGGTTTCTTGGCGCATCCTATCAACTTATTCACTGTCGCAGCTCACTTGCTGAATCCCTCCAACCCCCTTCTCCATCAGGATTTCTCAACACAGAGTGGAGTTTTCCATTGCTTCAATGACCTCTGTGCACATTTAAGAGGCAGGCAAGGAAGTGCAAGGGGGGGGGTGAAGTATAATGAAGTCGTTAAGCACTCTGGCCTCATTAAAAGAACTTGACGAAAGAGACAAGGCCTTTGAAGTTGAGACAGCCGTGATTATGGCCCTTGAAGAAGCTACAGGTTGGGGCTGTGCTGTTGACAGAAGCCAGGCAGGAGATAAGATGCTCCTTGCATCCTGCGTCACCCCTGATAAAAGATGCTGAGCACTGATTCAGCTGTCAGGCAGGCAGGGGGAGAGACTGAAAACATGAGGCTGAAGAGGGGCCTGTGGTGACGAAACCCAGGCTTGTTAGTCCCACTGGCAGGAGTTAATGAGTCAGTAGGTGGTGTGCTTGGGAAACAAGGACTCCTGATCTGAGCCAGGCTTATCTCAATTGGCTCAGGCTCAGGAAGTCAGACTGTTTTGGCATTCCAGTACTCTGGGACATTTGCAGCAGATAAAATGCACAACACCTGCTAGCCTTGCTGTGGGACTAACAGCTCGCCAGGCTAAGCGATACTTGGCTCCCTAAACTGCCAACAAAATCTCCCTTTCTCCCTTCTCTTGAATTGGGAAACCTGCAAACAGGACCTGAGCACAAGATCACTCTCCCCTCCTGTGGTTTCCAGCCACTGTATTCAGAAGCATTACTGCCTGCAACGGTGGAGGCAGAGCATAGCCATCATGGCTAGTAGCCACTGATAACATGATCCTCCATTAATTTGTTCAATCCTCCTTTAAAGCCATCTAGGTTGCTGGCCATCGCTGCTTCCCATTGGAGTGAGCTCCAAAGTTAAACTTTGTGTTAGATGAAGTACTCTCTTTTACCTGCCCTGAATCTTCAGCTTCCTTGGAAGTACCGCTCATGCCCATGAGCACCGCTCCCCTTATTGTATGCCAGGCTTCCTCAACCTGGCACCTTCCAGATGTTTAAGATTACTCCCATCAGCCACACTATATTATGGCTGTGCTGGCGGAATTTGAAGTACTAAACATCTGGAGGGCACCAGGTTGGAAAAGGCAAACAGGAAGGGCTCCAATACCCTGATGGACAATTTGTACGGCCCACACAGGAGCTTCTTTCTCATGCAGATCATATTGTCCTTTCCCACAGATTCTTTGCTGAGCCCTGTGCCTGGGATAAGAGTGACCTCAAACAGCCAACTCACTTGGGGAGATTCAACCCTGGGGCATGGGCCCCTTCCTATCCAAAGGCCAGGAAATTTGTGCGGCAGTACAGTGGTTAAGTCTGCTTGCATTCCAAAACCATTTGGAAGAGGCTCCAAGAGAGCCATGCCTGCTTTCAGCCAAAGGCAGCTCAAGCAAGGAAGATCTGCAGGCTGGGAAGCGTAGCATTGAGGTTGCTGCTCCTCCTAGTGGAGACTCTGCAGTCTACAGCACAATGTCCCCATCCCTCCGAACCTCAAAATCTATGCTAGGAAGTAAATTAGGCCAGATATATAGAATGAGGTGACAGAAGGTTGACTGCAACCCTTGAGAATGTAGGGAGGGCTTCAGTTTTGAATCCTCATCTGAAAAACTGTTCCCTGGGGGGGAAATGCATTATCAGGGTGGCTGACAGGGCTCTGCGGACTCCGGTGGAAGTTGTCCATTTTAAACACTGTGCCGTGAAACTTCCCAACTGTAAAATAATCTAGAGGGCATGTAACCCCACCCCCAGGATGTGCTATGAGGTGCCCGTTTTGAGCAGATTCTTCGTACTACAGACACAAACAGACACCATATACTGTAGCTTATTCACAGCTTTTATTTCTTTCAAGTCTACTTTGGACCTGCTGATCCATTATCATGATACCTGGATGATAAAACCTTGTAGTACCTTGTGGCGTGTAACAGCTTATGACAACCTGAAATGGCCGCACAAGTTGCTCTCTCCCCCTCTAGCTTCTAAAAAGAAAGGATTGTTACTTGGAGAAAAGGAAACCCAGAAAGGTCATTTCAACAAAGATCTTTTTCCTTTTTTTGTGGGGGGTGGGGGGGAAGAGAAGAGAAATATTGAAAAACAAGACGACGACAATAGTCTGATTGCTCCAGTGTTAATGAAAGGAAGCCCCTTCTCCACTCCAGGTTCTGGCATGCCCCCCACCCCCACCCTGAAATTCTTGAATACATACCTCTTTTTTCTTTAAAAAATATACTTTAAAAAATAATGCTCCATAAAAATACTATTGTTCCTAGTCAAACACAGATATTGCAGTATCAACAGTTAACTGTTTTGTTTTTCTCTCTATAAAATGTGAAAAGAGTATTGTCACACCGATAGATGTAGAAAAAAATCCCCCACAGACATACCTGCATGGCAGCCTCAGGCAGCATGGTGGCTCCCAGGAGTTTTGGACTACAACTCCCAGCTGGTGCTGATGGGGACTGTGATCCAAATCACCTGGAATACACCGGGCTGGGAAAGGCTGCATGTAGAGTTATCACAAAGCCGGTACAAAATGAGGAAGAGTTTTTTTGGGGGGAGGGGGTGCAGAAGGGAAAGGGAGAGAAAGATGCATGTGGCTAGGAATGGCTTCCTAACCTGACTTGGGGATTCTGGGTCCTTTTGAAATGCCTTTCTTTGGCATTTCCATGCACTCCCAGCGTTTGCTGCCTCTGTTGCAATGGCTGAGTGGTAAGCAATTTGCTCCCCAAGGGCGTAATAAATAGTCCTACAAAGTGCCTGTGTCCCATGCTTCTTGTTCTTCTTTTAAATAATAGTTAAAAAACCCCAAATGACTTAACAAAAACCACAGGCGATATTTCTTTTTTTTAAAAAAAGGTTTAAACTACAGAGTTCCCCACAAAATGCGTTGTTGCTATATAAACCGCAAACAGGATGAGGGCCAACAGTGCTAAAATCTTAGTAAAAGCATCTTAATAAAATATACCCTCTGCGCTGAAGTTACATATGGAATGTCCAACCGGAAGTACGAAGTGGGCCCAAACGACAGTTCGAAGTGGGCGAGGCCAGGGTCCCCCGCTGCATTTTCCTGTTCAAGCGCCTACATCGAATCCCCTCACCTCTGAGCTCCGAAAAATGAAGGAAGGTTCCACCTGGCAGAAGAAGGCAGGAGAGGAGCCGAGGGAATGGGCTGCCTACTTGTTAGATGGAGGCCGAGGGAAGGGTGAGGGGTTGTGCCTCCCCACTGTGTGGGGAAAGGTCAGCAAGAGCCCCGAACAGTCCCGATCCACCACATGGCAGTTGCCCTCAGTTCTCGGAGAGGGAGAGTGCCAGCGCCGCTTGCAGTGCTGCTTCTTCATCGATGCTGTAGTCCTGGAAATGAGGACAGAACCATTGCAGGGAACCAAATGGAAGCATTTCCCTCCCTGCTCCAAGCCCCGTCCCCGATATTGCTTTACCAAAAGACTTCCTTTTTTCTCTCTCCTCCTCCACATCGCTCAGAGCAGTGTCCTTGATTCCTCCCCCTTCCCTTCCACCCTCTCAGCGACCTTGTGAGGTAGGCCAGGCTGAAAGGTAAAGACTGGCCCAAGATCACCCACTGAGTTTCATGAATGCGCATGGATTCGAATCCAGGTTTCCCAATGTGGCAATCTAAACACTACACTGACTTAAAAAAAAAATAAAAGGCTTGGGACAAGATTACAATCTCAACAATTATGTCTAAGTTGTTTAAAAGGGAAGTCTCCTTATAAGAGTGGAGTAGAAAGAACACCTACTTGAGCTCTCAAATGGGAGGAAGGTGGAATTTCTGATACAACAGCATCCCCATCCCCTCCCATATCAGTTTGGTCCATGATTATCATCAAAGATTATATTTTTCTCCCTCTTTCCAGGCCCAAAGGACCCCCGAGGAAGAACATATTAAAGAATAACAACAAAAACCGCAAACCATCAAAGCAAGCAACAAGGGAGTCCTAATTGCCAACCCACAGAAGGCAATATTGAGCACCAGGGCTCCTGACCGCCATCTAATGCACCCCATGTAAGTTTGGCAGTAGGTACCCACCACAAATGTGTCATAGGAGAACTTGTGCCTGTGCAGAAGATGCTGTAGGAAGTTGGCACTCTTATAACTGGGGTCACCCCAAGGCATGGCTGAACAGACTGGGCATACCTGGAACACAGAGGGGCAGGAGGAAGAGAAGAAGCGGACTGTCAACTAAAAAGGAAAGAACCAGATTAGCCCATTCTAAAGCAACAAAGTAGCACACTAAATCAACAATGAGATTTGTAGGTTTCTCACATATCCACACACATATGTGCATGTGTGCCTAGGGAAATAATACCACTATAATTTATTCCATGGGTTTAATTAATTATTTTTGGTCCTACTCTTCCACCAAAAAATGTTCCCAAAGCAGCCTACAAATCATTAAAAATAGAGAAGAAGTCCATGCCCTCAAACTTAGAATCGAAAAATTCACAATACGAAAGGAAAACCTATTGAGAAGGGGGAGGAAATAGGCAAACTCAGGCACAAGTTCTTAGTTACAAGTTGTTCTGATGACCAGATGGGATGGAAAACTTTGAAAGGAATCAACGGAAGCTGCTAGTCTCTCATCTGTAGCAGTGAGGTGGTCCTGATTTCTATCTCTTCCCTCTCCTGTTTCAGCTATTATCCAAGGCTTGCTGCACTGCCTGTAGACTTCTGCTCAGAAAATATGACAAATGCATGCCTTGCTATCCAGCAAACACCCTAACTGCAGACAGAAAAGGCTTCCATGTTTTCTTAGGAGGGCGACAAAAGTTCTGATGTAAAGTCTCCAGTTTCCACAGCACACACCTGGGGTTCCTTTACCAATTTTAGGAAGCTGTCTTAGAAAGTCAAGCCATTGGTAGAACTACCTCAGTACTAACTGGCAAAAGTTCTTAGGATTTCAAACAGGGGACATTCCTAGTTCTACCTGGTGAATGAACAAACAACCTTCTGCATGCAAAACAGAAGCCCTACCACTGAGCTATGACCTTTCCTGTGCTGGCATTTGCCATACATGACTCCTGAGGAGCTCAGACTATTTCTTTTAAAAATATTTACACCCTGCTTTTCTCTGGAACCCCAAACATCAAAAGCAGCTGGCAAATGAATATGCATACGCAAATCAAATGCATTAAGTACATAATGTAAGAATAGCCTGCTAGATTGGGCTAGTGGTCAATCGAGTCCAGCCTCCTGTTGTTACAGTGGCAACCAGATGCTGGTGTCAAACCGGCAAGCAAAACATGAGCACAAGAGCCCTTTCCCTTCCCGTGGTTTCCAGCAACTGATATTCTGAAGTATTGCTGCCTCTGATTATGGAGGGAGAGCATAGCCATCAAGGCCAGTAGCCATTGATAGCCCTCTCCACCATGAAAAAATTAAAATAATCAATACCAACATCAACTAAAAAACAGCAACAAGCTTCTTTCCTGCACCCCATCCTGGGTTGCTTTGGAAACACCTATTGGTACCAAATTGACCAGATCTCCAAATTTAAGTTTTGGACCGATGGAAGGTGGACCTCAAAACAGAACTGCTACCCTAAACTCTCAACATGACCCTCTCCAGGGCACTTATCTCCTCTCTTTTATCTGGCTGCAGAAAAGGCATCACCGCACTGCCTCTGTCCATTTGAGAAACTGAATAGAGATTAAATGAGCTACAAACTGGCACAGCACTCCATGCCTGGGAGCGGATGCACATGCACCTACCAACTCCGCACCAGGAAACAAATCAGATGCGCACAAACCTCACAGTTCACTGGACAGTTATACCCCTCTAGCTCTACATCAGCAGAGGAGCTGAAGAGCAGCATTTAACAGCCTGCAGTTCACAACCTAAAGCAGCAGGTAACTCAAGTTGTGCCATAGGCAGGATGGGCAAACCACTACACTGGCCTTTCATCCTGCTTCTGCCCCCCCCAAACCCAAACCTGTATATGGGAGGGCACAATTCCCAGCCTCTTTTCCATTTAGATCCATGGCCACTCACCACTTTGTTGGGGTCGTTGCGGTGGTTTTCCATGCAGTGTTTCACCAGCTCTTGCTGGTCCAGGTTCCGCGCTCCACAATAGGGACACACAAATGTGGACCGGTTTGGGATATTGCTGGAAAAGACAGCAGAAATTTGGAAGGGTCACCCAGGAGAACAGCACCTGTGGGGTGCTTGCCAATGCTCCCTTTCAAAAGAAAACCCCCACGGACAGCATGGCTCACTCGTGACAGCTTCAAAACTATTGGTTAACCTTGCAGAGTTAGCACACAGCTCAAAAGCTGGCTGTATATGGTATACTTGCTGATGATTTTTTTTAGTGGCAAAGCAATCTCACCAAGATATTAGGTGCGCAAATAAGAAAGCTGTGTTTTTTACAGGAATTACAAACTGGATGGTAAAGAGTTCCTAGTTCCACCTAATTAAGCTGGAGATGCAAAGGAGCCCTGCTTGCTCTTTGATATCTGCAGGAGAAAGTGACAAAAGGTCTCTCCTCCTCTCTTCTCCAGAAGTGGCAGATATCAAGGAAGAGGAGGTGAGTGAGGAAATGAGGTCAACAACCCTAAGAATGTCAGTCTAGCACTTTAAGAGGTCAGCACAGGTTAGGTCAGAAAGGCAGTCTAAGAAGGTTCCTCCATCTATCCACTTTCTCTCCATGCAAGCCTCATCAGCCCAACACTCCAACAGAATGCAGCACCTTGTCCAACGGGTGAAGATACCTGGGAATGGGTTGGGATGTCGGGACAACAGGAACAAACTTTGGACAGTTGGCCATCTGCTCCTGAACCTTAGTACAGGATGTGACATGGGATCTCATCTTTGCGAGGGTCACCTGTAAAATGAGGAATGGAGACAAAAGGACTCTATTTTTCTTCCTAAGAATGTGCTGTATCCTCTTAACATAAAAGCTTGGTTTCCGGGTAATTATCACACACTAATTAATTAAGCAAACTGTATCACTCTGTACTCAAACTGTCTTCTATGCTACTTGAAAAGGGGCAAGGTGGCCGCTTTAAGGTTGCAAAGGAACTTTGAACTGAACCTCAAACTGTTCTTCCAGCCGCCAAACCTCAAGCCACATGCCCTCCAACTGAGACTTGTAAACTTCATTCAGCCAGTCCATGACTTGTCCTTACTAAAGTTTCATGTTGATTTTTAACTGTATTTTTATTGCTTTCTTTCTTATATTATAATTTGAATACAATGGAATTCAAACTATAATACAATGTAAATAATAAAAGAAGCAATAAAAACAATTAAAAATCATGCAGCATCTAGCACAGTGCATTACAATTGCTATAACAGGCAGAAAGACTCTCAGCAATTTTCAAGTGACCTGGGAGGGGGGGCGGGAGGAATTAACCAGCCAGTTCCTTGTGGTTCTAAACTTGGCATTTGCCCTTGCCCACGTGGCTCATGAAATTACCTTTTTGCTACAGCCCCGGCAGGGAGCCTTGAAGGAGGAGAGCTGCTTCTCTACACTGGAGGCCTTCTCCACCTTTTTGGGGTCAAAGGGCATGCGGCAGAGTGGGCAGAGAGGAGACGGTACTTGGAGGCATGGCTGCAGGCATTCCCCACAGAATCTGGAAAAGAAACAGAGACTTGATTTTGCTCAGCAAGCCTTGAGAGCACTAAGAGTAGTACAGGCATACAAACTCTTATCACCAGCAAATTCAACAATAAAGGCTGGCCAGATTCCTCTCCCAGGATAAGATGCTGACAGTTCTCCAGCCAAAAAACATAAAAACATTCCTGAAAACATGAAGTTGCCAATGAGAGTTTAGCTTTCTGTATGTCCTAGATTATGAAGTGCCCCCACACAGAATTATTAGCAGGGTGTTCTCAGACTATTTCCAGCACCTATGGGGCATAGGGTAGAAGATGGCCTAGTCTTAAAGCACGCAAGAAGCTTTCTGTATCACAAGCAAAACATTCTAGTGTATGCTGAATACTACAGAGCACCAGTACATACTCTGGAATGCTACACACCACTTGCTCAGAGGTACAAAAATCTATTGCGGTCATTTATGCATCTAATTTTGATGAGCTGCTCATTGTCTCTTGCCCTTTATAACTATTGAGCACTACGTGCTATGAAGTCAAAGAGCACTCTTGTGCATGAAGAGCACTCTTGTGCATCCATCAGGAAATGTCTGCCTCTGAACTTGGAATAAGAGGCTACAGGAATCTGAGCAGTAATTCAAAGAGCCTCGGGCCAGAGAGTGGCTTTTAGAAACAGGCCAGAGATCAGGGATCGTGGCAACTTTAAAGTTCTTTTATGCCTGCAGGATCAGAACCTCTCATACAGTTGGTGGAAGAAACTGCAAAATAACCACTGTACTGGAAAAGGGAGCTTGAGGCTATGCAAGGGAATCCAAGAGGCAGAAAGGACAACCTGCCAGCCCACTTGCAAATGCTCTGGTCTTTCAGCAAATTTCATTAGCTTTATGCTAGCAGCTAGCTGCAAGTAAGTTTTCTACTTCTGCCCTCCCTCTTGCTCCACTAGACATATGCCAAGTGAGTTTCCTCAAAGCCACTCCTTTCCTCTTGGTTATCTTGACTAACTTTTAAAGGGAAAACCTCTGCTGCGGCTCTGCACTTACCCATCAGCATCTCTGTTCCGGAAGTTTTCACAATAGGCAATACCAAACGAAAAGGCAGAGGCCTTTCCCACCACTGAGTGCAGGAGAAAAGGGTGGTTAACCCTATTACCACAAGTGAACTTTGTGTTGTGCCACAGGAGGGCAAGCTGATTTTATATAATACAGGAACAGCACAGTCACTACCTGAAGTGCTTCCAGTCCATATTAGTGAGCAAAGATTAGAAGTGAGGAGGGAAAGGATTGGGGACTGTTAACAGAACTGGCTACCTATCTATTTCTGAGAACAATTAAAAATGCTGGCTTTACAACCATAAAACCCTCAATAACTTGGGACTTGGGAACAAAGAACCAACTGCTCCTTTGAGCATGTCTGGTTATTAAGATAATCAGTGTCCCCTGCCAACCAAAGTGTAATTGGTGGTGATGAGGGACAATGCCTTTCTAGTGGCAGCATCCTCTAAGAGAGATACAGCTGAAGAATATCTAGCAAATAAATTTTAATAGATTTATATATTGCTTGATTGTAATAAGACCTTGAACTGGCTTACAAAAAGAATGAAACAGTAGAAGTATCAGGAAAAAACGTGTTGAAAACAACTATTTAAAACATTCAAAAGTTATTTAAAATAAATGATAAGCTAAAAACACATGTGGATGCTGAAAAGGGTACAGTGAAGGCATTTGCATGATGTCAACAGGCAGGAGCTCCCAAAGTGTAGCTGCTGCCACACTAAAATATAGATCTTTTAAAAACAGAGTGTTATGTTGCAATTGTAATAGTGTCAATTCTGCAGATGGAAGCAGTCAAGCGGGCATATATGGGAAATGTGATCTCATAAGTAAACTGGTCTCAAGTTGTTAAGGGCTTTATATGCCAATAAGTAAGACCTTGAAGTAATGAGCTGAGGTGTAACAGGTTGATAGAATCTCACTTCTGTAATTGTAATTGTGCTGCATCATTCTGCACTAACTGCAGCTTCTAGATCAAGTGCAAGGGAAGCCACACACAGAGCGAATTACAGTAATCCAGTCTTCAAGTAACTAACACATGAACTACCATGACCAAGCTTTCTTCATCCAGGAGCAAGTACAGCTGTCATACTAATCACAGCTAGTAAAAGGCACTTCTAGCCACTGAGGCTACCTGGACTTCCAGTGACAAGCTGGATCCAGAAGCATCATGCCCTAGACTACAAACTTGCTCCTTCAGGGGAAATGCAAGCCTATCCAGGGTTAGCAGTTGACCAATTTCTCAGACACAGAAACCATGCCTCTGTCTTGTCAGAATTCAGTCTAAGTTATTCCTCATCCATCTCACCACTGTGTCCAGGCACAAGTCCAGGGACTGCAGGGATTCTCCTGATTCAGATGTTCAGATTACAATCTGCATCAGCCCCAGGATCATACAACAATGCTGGCTAGGGCTGATGGGAGTCATAGTCCAAAACATCTAGAGAAGCCTTCACCAATCTAGTGCAAGCCATATGTTTTGGACTACAACTCCCATCTCCCCTTACCATTCACCATGCTGGCTAGGGCTGATGGGAGTCATAGTCCAAAACATCTGGAGGACACTAGGTTGGGGAAGGCAGGCAATAGCCTTTCAAGGTCTTCCCCACACATTCTGTCCAAGATCCTTTTCAACTTGAGGAGTCAGGGATTGAACTGGGGGCCTTCTGCATGGAAAGCAGATGGTCCACCATGGAGCTATGCCTCTCAGCCACCTCATCTGTTAGTTTTCATAATGCCACAGCATCTTTTTGACTTCTTACTACTACTGAAGATACAGCTCTCTTCTCTAGATACAGAATCTATCTTCTCAGGAGATGGTGATCCTGAGCAGGTTTTTGCCTCCTTATGAAACCTTTTAGAAGATTTAGACTGCAAGCATTAGAACTCTGAAAAAAATCACTGCAAGAACTGGTCTGAAAATATCCAACAGTTTCAGCAGACAAGTTTCAGGAGTGCTAAAATTCACTATATCATTACACAATGTAACTATATCATTACACAATGGTTTGGGTGTTCAAAGTTTGAGGCTGCCATGCACATGGCAATGTCTGGTAAAAGCTTCAGTATCAAAAAGCTCCTGAAGATCTGTGTTCACAGGAGCAGAGTTAGGACTCACAATAGACTCCTGCAGGCTCATGTTATTCAAAGGATTATATTACCCCACTTTCACTCTCACAGATATAGACAACTCAGTGAAAGTTCATAAGGCTATTCCATAGTTATCCTCTACTGAACTTTCTGTAATAAGCATTATCTTTCCTTTCACACAGAGCAAGTAACAATATTGTAGGAAAAGGGTGGTGTGGGTCCAGTTCTCCCAGTATTCATGGGAGCCAACGATTCAGGAGCCCCACTCTCTTTTTAAGAGAGCATCTCCACAAGTGCACCCTCCTTGCTTTCTAGAACAGCCACAAATTTGCACTATGATACTAGCAGTTTTGTTTATGATCTCCTTCCTAGCTATCCCTAGTATGAAATTCACCTTCCCCACAACAGGGTCCACATCTGTTACAAGGTATCTGCTTCAGCCCCAAGGTCTCATTCTTGGTCAACACTGCCATGTCACTGTTGCACCACAAATTCACCTCCTCATCCCCCTAACATACTTTCTCCCAACCTAGACCCCACTTCGCTCTATACCTTAGCATCCTCACGCCTGTAGTTCCTCCCTCGGTCGCCCCCTCAAATCTTCTCCTGCTTTCCCCCAAATCAGGCAGACACCTCCAATGCTCCCCCACCAGACCCACCATCTCCTCCTCTAACCCCCGTTGCACTTGCTGAAAGACGGGCACCATGTTTACAAGCGGTCCGCCCTCGGACGTGACTGCGCGTGCCCCCCCACCCCCCAGGGCCCCTGGGCTCTCACGTGTGCCTGCAGGGGGCGATGCGCACGGGGCGCTGATAGACCTCGAGGCAAATGGGGCAGCTGAACTGGGCCTCCAGCGCGGCGCCGGCCTCAGGCGGGTGGGGCGGCGGCGGGGCGGGCGAGGGGGCGGCGGCAGAAGAAGGAGTCGCCTCGCGGGACCCGCCCGCGGACACCAGCAGGCTCCGGAACATCGCGGCAGCCATGGAGGACGAGGAGGCGGAGGCGACCCCGGCCCAGGGAGGCGGAAGCGGAAGCAAGGTGGTAGGGCGGCGCTCTCGGATGATGTCAGAGGCAAACCACCGTTTCGTGGCGCTCCTCGCGAGAGAGAGCCTCTCGACCCACGCGGCGCGCGGCCGGCGCGGCGCTTAAGGAAGTGTGGAATGTAGACTGTGTATAGACTCGCACTCGAATCCTAGCTTCCGGGTTCGCTTCATTATTTATTTGCATGCAGTTTTGACTTTGAAGTCACATATTAATTAAGTAATTAGTTATATATCCCATTTTCCCCTTTAAGGAGCTCTAGCCGATGTACATCTTTCTTCCCACCCCCATTTTATTTCAACAACAACTCAGTGAGTACTTGCCGTATGAACCGGCCCTCCCACCAGTGGGAATTTGGTTGGCTTTTAACACGTACGAACACCCAAACTGCACCCGGAAGGTTTCCTCTTTGTGAATGTATAGACAGATCTATAGAGCAGATGGTACAAACCAGGGCGTGTGACGTCAGAAGAGTGCGCCGGGTGGCCGGTCCTGCTCGGGTTCTGAGCCGGGAAGCGGCTGCTTAGGGCGCCCCGCGCGACGGAGGCTGAGAGGTCTGGCTGCGATGTGTGAAGCCGAGGAGGGAGGCTGCGGAAACGAGACGCAGCCTAAGAGGGCACCCCGGGGCAGGTAGGGGAACGGGGTTGGGCAGGGAGTGAGTGTAGAGGAACGGGGTAGGGGTGGGAGGTGGGGTTGGGAAGAGGCCTTCCCGGCTTGTCCCGTCTGAGCCGCGACTTCCCACTAGGTGTTGTTTTTGCAATAGCCGCAGAGGCCACAACAGAAGTTAAGAAGGCAGGCTGAAATGATGTGAAAAGATCCACGTTGTGCAAATCAACATAACAGTTGTTGTGGTGGTGGTGGTGCTATCTGCGCACATTAAAAGACTGTCTGTAGCAGAGTGTTTTTTGGCACTTTAAATAATAAGAAATGTCTTGCAACAGAAGCTTTGTGGACCGAGGTCTGCTTCATTAGACGTGTGAAAGGGTTGTATTCTCATTTATTACACCTGCCAATTTAAGGCAGCGCTTAATGCATCCAATGAAAGGGCTTGTAGTCCAGTGAAAGCTTCTGTGATAATAAAAATGTTGCAGTGCAACCTTAGCCATGTCTACTCAGAAGTAAATTCTATTGAATGCAGTGGGTGATATTCCCAGGTAAGCAGAGGTAGGATTGCAGCCATAATCTTTTAGGCTGTTTGGTTAATATAATCATATGCCATTCTCCTGCTTGTAGAGCACCCACAGTGGCTTACACCGATAAGAAATGCTACACAACAATAATGGTTATACACTAATGTTTTTAATTCCAATGGCAAACAATACAAATTGTACTTTGGAATCTGATCTTCCTTTTCTCTCTTCTAAGCTGCCCCTCAAAATGCATGAAATGCAAAGAAGGTTCCCCGGTGTTGATCATCCGTGTTGGGGATGCCTTTTGCAAGTAAGTATGACGGGCAGCTGTGCCTTCTTACCGGGTTGGCAGCAGACATGGTTGTCATTTTCTGAAAGGCTGCTGTGGTCTACAACAAAGCTGCAAACCTTTTTTTGAGGGATCTGGCTGATCTTTGTTACAAGTGACAACCTCTGGTGTTGACTCACACAGCAGAATTTCAGTCATGGCATATTTCTAGACCTCTTTAATCTCTATTAGAACTCTTTAAAAAAACAATTTGAGTTGCTTTTTCTCAAGAGCTAAACACCCATGCTCACTGTCAGTCTCTCACTACTACCCTAACCCAGATGTTTCAACCAATTATAGTTAAGTGTGGATCATAGCTTACACACATGTGTTGCATGCAGAAGTTCACAGATACAGTCCCTGGCATTGCCTGTTAAAAAGGGTCAAGTGGCAGGTGATGGGATGCGGAACCCCACTGGAGACCCTGGAAAGCCTATCAGGTGGATGGAAAATAGTCTGATGATATAAGGCAGCTTCTTCTATTCCTGCTCCTAAGCATAGCATTGTGGCTAAAACAAAATAAGGCCAAGATGTTTGACTAAAATTGCGTTTCTATTGCATCTTATTGCTTTAATAACATGCATTTGTTGCTGATTCATAGGAGCTGTTTCAAGGATTATTTTGTTCACAAGTTCCGGGCTATGCTTGGCAAGAATCGCTGCATTTACCCTGGAGAGAAGGTCCTGTCCAGTTATTTTGGGGTGGGCGGGCGAGGGAGCTAACAACTAGAAGTGACAGACATGTTTTCTAATACTCCCTTGCATGCTTTTTATTTATTTTTATTTACTGTAGGTTCTGCTTGCATTTTCGGGCGGCCCTGCCTCCAGTTCAATGGTGCGGCAAGTTCAAGAGGTATTTCCCCATGACTTCCTAGCAGGGTAAAGACAGAGAATTTGGGGGTTTAGTAGAGTGGTTCTTAAATTAATATCATTTCTTATGCACCCTTCACCACATGGTTGCAGGGTGGGTTATAGCAATCTAAAAATCAGTATTAAAAACAGCTTGAAACTGACCCAAATCTTCTTTCTCATTCCAGGGCTTGAGCCGGGAAGCAGCCAAGAAACTCCGCTTCAAGCCAGGAATCATCTATGTCGATGGTAAGCAATGCTTGCTGGGTGCATTCCCTTCTATGTTTGGGAGACTGAAGAGTCTAAGCAGAGGCAGTTTGTTCAAGGTGAAACAAACCTTGCATCAAAATGCTTGTACTCTTCTCCAAGGTTTAAAAACAATACTGCTAAAAAGTCTCATTTTCCCCTTTTCCTTAACTTCGAGGCAAACAAATACTCTCTTAGGGTGTCTGTGAAGGTGGCCACATCTTCATGGAAGGCAGGATTGGTGTGGCCATTTAGAAGGGGATGGACTGTGGCTTAGTGGCACAGTATCTGCTTTGTATGCAAAAGATTCAGTCCCCAGCATCTCTAGGTAGAGCTGGGAAGGGCCCTGTTTCTGAGACTCTGGAGTGTCACTGCCAGTCAGTGTAGAGGCCTTGCAGATGCTGCTGGACTGCAACTCTCAACATCCCTGACCATTGGTTCTGCTGTCTGGGGCAGATGGGAGTTGTAGTCCAAGGGCATCTGAAAGGCACGAGGTTCTCCACCCCTAGATGCGCCCAGGCGGGATTCACACACTGAAAGGCAGCTGTCTTATATTCCAAGTGCAATTTCTGTTGTCAAGCCTATTTTTCACCATAGACCGTTACTGTCAGGGAGAGGCAAACAGGAAAAGATGAAAGGACAGAAACCAGCAGTTATAGAGAGCCTAAAGAGATTATCAGCAGCTTCGCGTCTGACAGTGGGTCTGACGTAGAGGGGGAGGAGGATGAGCCGGGAACTAGTTATTCTGTGCACAGAGGAAGTAAGGGGAGGAGTTTTCGCAGACTTGCATGCTGGGTGCGGAAAAGGAAGAAAAAAGATTAGAGGCAGCAACTGCGCTCAAGGGGAAGGACGCTAATTGAAATGCTGGAGATGTGCGTTTGAACTTTGTCAAATAAATCAAATTGTTTGGAACTGGCTGGGAGCCCGGAGTCTTATCTATGGCCAGCTGGACAGCATTAAGCCTCTGACAGTTACCAAGCTCAGAGTGACCCTTTCGGCATCAAAATTAATTTGGTTAAAGGTTTTGAGTGAGGTGGCTCTCCAAATGTTTCAGGTGACTTACACCACGACTCTTGCCCAAGCTAGGTGAAAATAGGGTGGAAATCCCCCCCCCCCGAAGCCTGCTCAGCTTGTTTAACTGATCTCCCTGATCCTCTTTCTTGCTGTGCAGAGGGAGCTGTGTGCAGACAGAGCCCAGGCAAGCGGGAGGAGATCCGCAGCCAGATGGAGATGATCCTGCAAGCCACAGGGTTCCCTTATCACCTGGTGTGCTTGGAAGAGGTGAGGAAAGATGCACATGAGGAGAGGCCCGGGGTGCTGTGTCAACCTCTGACCTTGTTGCCGCTTCCTCATTTCAGTACAGTCATACCTCGGGTTAAATACACTTTGAGTTGAGCACTTTTGAGTTGTGCTCCGCGGCAACCCGGAAGTAACAGAGCGCGTTACTTCTGGGCTTCGCCGCTTGCGCATGCGCAGATGCTCAAAATGACGTCATGCGCAGAAGCGGCAAAAAGCAACGCACGCGCGTAGACGTGCCGTCGCTAGTTATGTTTACCTCTAGATGCGAACGGGGCTCCGGAATGGATTCCGTTCGTATCTAGAGGTACCACTGTACGTTGGTGTATTTTGAGTGGAGTTAGGAATCTCCTTAGAGATGCAGTTTGGCTGATCAGTAACGAAATAGCCTTATTACTGTGGAAGCCAACTAGTCCCATAAGAAAGGTGCAAGAACAGACCCCCTCATGACATTTTCAGGCTAAGGACCACATGTCCGTGATGAGTGGGGAAGAGGCAAAAGCGGGCAGAGCAACGCATGCAGATCTTACCTTTGTGCAGGAGTCTGGTTCCCCACTCCACCTTTTAGAAGAACGGAAGAGGACAGATTTCCCCATAGCTTAGAATTCTCAAAATAAATGTTATCATAGAACCTATGATGTTTTTACAGTCCCAACACTAAACCAAGGCAAATAAATATCAAAGGGGTGTGTGTGGGAAACACTGATTTTTGTGTTTAAATGTCTGTTTCTGCTAGTGCTTTCCGTGGCTGACTGCATGTGCTCTGCCCTTTCACAGGTGTTTGACCTGCCAGGCTCTGTGCTGCACTCCATTCCCCATAGTGCCACTGACCACGGCGGCAGCTACAAGGAAGCTGTGGATGGTTTCATAAGATGGCAGCAGCATGAGAAGACGGCAGGGGACTCAGCAAGCTCCCTGGAGAACCAGCTGGCTAGGCTTAGTGTTCACAGATCTTCACAGCAGGAGGGACCGCCGGTCCCAGGAACTAGGCCTCCTCCAGTGGCCCATACTGAAGCACTGACCAAGCTCTTTGGGGCTGTGAAAACCTTGACTGCAAAAGAGGAGCTCCTACAGACTCTCCGGTGAGCTTCTTTGTGGAAGTGACAAAGATCATTTTTCTTTTGGCTAGAGTGCTGCTGGACGAGCTCCCAGTATGCATTGCTCTCAAAGATGGGCATGCCAAGGGTGTTTTGGAGGCTACATTCGGAGACATTCCCGTCACCCTCTTGCTGTTTAATTTAACCTGCTTAAGAGGGGATGACTGAGTGCTAGATCCTGGCTAATCCCAATAATTCCTGAATCCTTGGCAGCTGAATGGATGCTGCTAGCACCCCTTTGAGGTTGTGGAAGGATGACAGGGCTGCTGCAGGTAGAGCAGAGGCCAACCCATCGTGAGCAGCAACCTCAGGAGCACAAGGCCCTGCAGAGCCAGGACCTAGAGTATTCTGCTTCACCCTCTCTAGGCTGCCACTTCCGGGTTTGCTTTTCATGGTCTCTTCACAGCTCCACTGAATGAGACAATCCTTGACTGCTTTGCTTGGCAATTTGAGGTCTGTGCTCCTGGGGAGGGGGCCAGCCGCCTCCCCACTCCTCTTCATGAGTTTATACCCTCCATGAGTTTGTCTAAAAGTGGGCTAGACCAATTAGTGGAGGCTAAGGCCACTCACCACGATGGCTGTGCATTGCGTCTGAATACCACTTGCTGGGGATTGCCAGTGGGGGAGAGTCCTGCTTGTGGGCTACCTCTTGGCCACTGTGAAAACGGGATGCTGAACTAGATGGGCTTTGGTCTGATGCAACAGGGCTCTCCTTATGTTCTTAGGAATCACCTGATTCTGCATGTGGCCCGGACAAGTGGATATTCCAAGGTGATGATGGGGGACAGTGGTACCCGTGTGGCTGTCAAGCTCTTGACCAACCTGTGCCTGGGACGGGGGGCCTTTCTGGCTGCAGATACGGTGAGAGCAGGGGCTACAGACTCCTATATGTTGGGGCCAGAGAGGCCCATGTTTCTTACCCTCTTCGCCCTTTGGTGAGAGGTGCAAGCTTCAAGCTGGAGTGGGCAGTGCTGCTCGTGAGGAATCCAGTCCCTGCTTCCCCTCTCCAGAAAGGACATTTGGGGCGGCCATTTCAGCAGCAGGCATCTGAGCTGCTTATAATGGCCTTGCTAGTTAGCAGAAAGACTCTGCACCCCACTCCTGGCCCTGAAGGTATGTAGAGCTGGAGAGAGGGAAGCAGGGAGTTGTTCCTGACCTCCCAAAGAGTTGCAGCACCAGGTTCAGGGACTAAAGCTGCAATTCCTGCATGTGCTTACCTGGGAGTAAGCCCCACTGAACATGACGGGGCTGACTTCCAAGTACATGTATAATGAATTGCATCAGAAGACAAACTGAAGTCTGTTGACAGCACTAGCACCACCACCACTGTGCTTTTCTTTATTGCTTCTATAAAAGGAAGAACCGTAGCTCAGTGTCAGAGCACCTGCTTTGCATGCAGAAGGTCCCAGGTTCAACCCTCGGCATCACCAGGTACAACTGGGAATGTCCCCTGCCTGAAACCTCTAGAGAGCAGCTGCCAAGTCAGTGCAGACTCTGGTGAGCCAGATAGGCTGATGGTCTGACTCAGGATAAGGCAGCTTCCCAAGTTCCTATATTCTGTTCTTTCCACACCACCGCTTTGGACCACCCAGAGCTATCCTGTCTCACAAATGGGGCAACGGATCAGGCACTTTCTGCACTGTTCACTTTCTCCTTTCCTTGAAAGGGCTTCTCAGACAGTCGCCACGGTGATGTGCTGTTCTTGCGTCCCATGCGGGAATACACTGCCAAAGAGATTGCCTTCTACAATTGCTTCTTTGAGGTGCCCACAGTCTTCACGCCTGCGCTGGATACTAAAGTAAGAGGGACCTACTTCTGGGTGCCTGTAGGGTGACCCCTTTGGGCGCCCTTCCACCAGACCTCCTGGGAGCGAGTAACCTTCCTTGTTGCCCAAGAGTGATGCCGCTCTTCTCCTCTTCCACAGACCCCCGACAGAGCCAGCATTCACCGCCTGATTGAGAGCTTCCTCTACAGGTTGCAGTGCGACTTCCCCTCCACCACCAGCACAGTCTGCCGGTAAGCAACCTTCAGGCTGGGCCATTCTCCTGCAAGCAACTGCAAGTTTCCCTGCTTCTAGGACATTCATCAGCACTCCCCACCCCCGTTGGTTGCATGCTGATAATATCCCTTTTGCCAGCCTGTTAGTATTTGCACCCATTCTAAGCAGGACTGTATGCATCAGCGACAGTAAGTGTCCAGTTTCTTCAGGCTGACTAAACCATGCAAACTGGAAGTTGTCTGTGTGCTTTTAAAACCCACTGGAGTTGCCAGTTCGCTTTCGGGTCCAATTTCGGGTTCTCACATTAGTGTTTAAAGCCCTAAGCTACTCAGGCCCCATATAGCTGAAAGACCACCTCCTTCCCTACAGACCCTCTTAGGTGCTAAGATTAGCAGACGGAGCCCTTGTGGTACTCTGCCCTAAGAGGCTTGGGGTGGGGGGTGGGGGGTGGGGGGGTCCAAGAGAGGGCATTCTCCGTGGCAGCCACTAAGTTCTGGAACTCCCTCTCCATTGAGGTATGTCTGGTTCCTTCATGATACAATTTCTGGCAAATAGTGGAGATGCGCATCTTTGCCCTGGGAGGTGTATATTTTTAGGAGCCACCTCATTTCTGCGATTGTAAGCAGTTTTAATACTGTGTTTTAAAGTTGTAACCTGCCCTGGGACCTTAGGGTGAAGGGTGGATGATGATAATGATAAAAGCCCACTTATTCTTCAGGGCAGCAAAGCCGCACATCTTGATCCCCACATCCCTTTCTGAATTCTTGAGACCATGACATTTTCCTCTCAAGGAATTTAAAGTTTCCTTCAGCCACCATTAAAGCCTAGAAACTCCAGGTTGTATCCAACTTAATTTTATTTACAATAGACCTGTTGAAATGTATGGACCTAAAGAAGTCCACTAACTCCAGAGGGTCTTCTCTTGAGTAGGACTACACTGGTTACAACCCTTTTTAATCTTAAAATGAGTGTGTTGAGATCATTGTTGCTTTCTGGCGGCTTAACTCTGCCAGTCTCACATACTGTCTGCCGAATACATCCAGACGTGGATTGTGTGATTTCTCCATGTGATGTGAGACCAGCTGGATGGTGCACAGAAGGCCTGAGAGGCAAAAGCAAGATGGATAATAGGAGGCAGAAGGGCTAGCCATGTCTTCCCAGCCCTCTTCTTGATGCCCTCTCCATCCTTTCTGCAGGACAGGTGAGAAGCTTTGTGTGACTTCCCCAGAGGCTGATCCTGGTGGACCCACAGAAACACCCCAGTGCCTCTTCTGTCTCTGCGCCTTGGACACCAATGCTGGTATGTGGTGGCCTTGTGAACCTCAACGGGAAAGTTCTTTTTCACTTCTTTAAGAAGGGGATGCACCTGGATGTGGTTCTACAAAGTCAGAAATTGGAGAACCGGAAGGACTTCAAAAACTAGCTTGACTTCTGCCTCCCACCACAAGCCACAGTCACCCACTCGCCAGCCCGCCTGTTCTAAGCTGCAGGGCGTCAGAAGTTTCTCCTCCTGGGCTGCCCTACTCAACTGCCATAGAACTAGTGATCTTGCCACTGGGATACCTGCCTCCTGAGTAACATCTAGAGCAGTCTTTTTGTCCCCAGATGTTGGACTACAACTCCCATCGTTGCTGGCCACTGGTCCCTTAAGCTAGGGACGATGGGAGTTGTAATCCAACATCTGGGGCCCCAAGGTTGAGAAAGGCTGGTCTACAGCAACCTTCTCCATCCTGGTGCCCCCTGGAAAATTGGTGGACTCCCAACTCCCAGCATGTCTAAATGACAGGGATTATGGGAATTGTAGTACAGTGACATCTGGAGGGAAACTGGTTGGGGAAAGCAGCAGGAAGCCTTATTTTCCATGACTTCTTTTTGTAGACAAATTCATGAAAGGATAAGACTGTTCATGGCTGCTAGCCACAATGGCTGTGTTCTTCTTCCACTGTTGGAGGCAGCATGCCTCTGAATACCAGTTGCTAGAAACTGCAGGAGAGGAGAGGGCTCTTGCCCTCTTGCAGGCTTCCCTTTGGGTTGCCACTGAGAAGAGGATGCTGGACTAGATACACCACTGGCCTGATCCAGCACGGCTGTTGTAACAGCATCCTTCTAGCCTGTTGAACTCCCTGGGTACAAAGAAAGCAAGACTGTCTTTGCTTACAAAGCTTAGCCACTTGGGGGCGACAGCTAAAACTCTCTCTGCCACTGAGGACAACAACTCAGCCTCTGACTCTGCTTTCCCTTTCCTCCCCAGTGGACGGCTCCTCCTTGCAGTCGACGGTGCTGTCAGAACAGCTCTGCCAGAAGCCACTTCCACCATCCACTGGGAACGGCTGCTGTGGAGGGGCCTCGAATCAGACAGGATGTTGCAGGGCCCCTCTGGCACCAAGGTAAGCAGGGATGCTGGATCCAGAACAGATAGCTCCACAAACAACTTAGCCTTGTATGGGTGGGGGGACTCCTTGCCCCCAACTTGGATGGCTTTTAAAAAAGGGCTGGAGGACAAAGGCTATGAACGACTACCAGCAACAGTGGCTCAGCTCCGACTCCACTGCAGGAGTCAAAGATGCTTCTGAATACAAGTTGCTGAAAATCACAGGAGGGGAGAGCTCTTGCGCTTGAATCCTGCTTGCCAGTTTCCCCCAGGCATCTGGGTGGCCACGATGAGAAGAGAACACTGGACTAGATGGGCCATTGGCCTGATCCTGCAGGCTCCCCTTAGGTCTCTTGTGCTTCTAGACCAGGGGTGGGAAACCCTTTGGAGGGCTGCATGTCAATGGCCAGACGCAAATGCAGGTGGAGCAACCAATGTAAATGTTGCCTTTGTGAAATTATTCGAAGACCCCACTCTATTAAAGGAAGTGAGAGGTATTATCCAAGTTCAAGAAGACACGCTCACCAAGCAGGCCAAAGCACTTGGGGTGGGTGGGTGTGAAGCAAGTTCACTTCTGCTGTACTAGAATCATAGACATCACCTGCCCAGACTTGATCCTCTGCCCTCCTGCTCTGTTCTCCCCTGTAGAGATTCTTCCCAGCTTCTCCCATTGCTCTGCTACAGCTGCCGCCTGACCATCAAAGACATGGTAAGTGCAGAGAGGTGTGGAGCGCACAATTCCTCCTACTCTAATGCTGCATTTTTCTGGGCTGTCACATTTCCTTTCTGTTCAGAGACTACAGGCCAGTTGGCTGCCTCTGTCACCAAACTGCTGCTTCCAGACGAGTGGATGAAGCTATCCCAGTTGAGTTTGATGGGTGGGAGAGTGTTGCGGCCTTTGGGAAGGGGGAGAGAGGAGTGTTGTGGGCCCAAGCAGAGTGCAGCGAGATAGGGCATGGTCTGCCGCTTGATTTGGATGAGGAGGCTTGGCCTCATGAGGACTCAAACTCAGGGCAAAGAGGAAAGGCCACCTACCCTTTTGTATTTTCTTTACCAGACTAGGGATGGGCATGGGCTCTGCCAGGCCTAAGGGATGGTCAGGCATTCATCACAGTGAAGCATCTGCTCTGAATTCTGGAAGTGTTCATTCACCCCAACTTCTTTCCTCCTCTGCAGAGCTCATTGGAGCCTCTCCCAGCCTACATCCACTTGGAGGCAGAGCGCCGGCGATGCAGGTACAAGCCACACACTCTGCAGAGGAGGGGATATGTGCAGTGGGATACATAGTTCATCTCTGAATAGAAGCACTTATAGGAAGGGCAGGGAAGAGCATATTGAAGTGTGTGTATGAGAAAGAGACCAAAGAGACCTCAAATCAGGCTCATTTCTCCATGGAATCACTCTGGGTGGCAAGACCAGGTCCCAAATTTATTTAGTGCTGGGGATATACTGTTGTGCCCCGTCCCCTTACCAAAAGGTGCTCTTGAGACAGAAAAGGAAATCACGGAGATATCTAAAGTTTTGTGGTTGCGGTTGTGGTTATGTAGGTTGGATAAATGTGTATGATGAAGAGAAATTTGAGATCAAAGCATGTATTCCTGCAGTAGCACACGGGGCAGGAACTATAGCCCCATGGGTTAGAGATGACCCAAGGGTCTGTCAAAGGCTCAGATCCTGTCTTGGCAGCCATGGTCATATTTGGTCAAGTCCTCTGCTCATCCCCAGTACCTGTCAAATGACAACCAGATAGACTTAATGTTGACAAGGGTTTTATCAGACCAAGTTGTGAACTGCAACGCTGATTTGCTGGAATTACCAGTCTCCGTGGGGCACGGGGAGGATGCTTCTTGTGCTGATTCTCACTTAACCACCCACTCTCCCTGTTCAGGTCCCATCTCCACACATACACCCCAAACAGCAGCAGCTTGTCATAGGGGTCTCCTTTGTGACTTTACCAGCTTCCAGCCAGCTGAATGAGAGTTGCTGAGGAACCAGAAACGTTCAGGTGTAGAGACTGGTGTGTGTTTTGTTCCTGCAGGGCTGCAATGAAGCAAGAAATCCAGGAGTTCTTGCTTGAAGAAGAGGACAGTGATGCTGCTGAGGGCCTTCCCCTGAGCTGATGACAGGTTTGCTGAGCTCTGGAGAACCAGAGTAGAACACCCAATGCAAGAAAGCACCCCCTCTTGGCTCTTATTTGACCTTTTTTTCCTTCCTGAATTTTATAAGTTTTCTAACGCAAATAAATTATTCTGAAGCCACCAGCATCTGGCTCAGTGATGCTACAGGAGGTCTCTCATCATTTCAGTTGGTGCCAAGCACTTGAGAGTCCTTACACAACTCCGCCAGTGTGGAGAACCAGTCCCTTGCCAGATGTTGCAGAACTATACCTTCCATCAGCCCCAGCAAGCATGGCCAGTGGCCGGGAATGATGGGAGTTGTAGTTCTAACATATAAAGCGCAACAGGCTGAACGGTGATGTTTGCAACAAATTTCTTTAATGGTTACTTCCTATCATACGAATCAAGTCCAGGATGCCTGTTGCGCTTTATATGTTGTAATTATTGCATCTGCATAACAAGGTATTGTATTAGTTTTGGGAGTTGTAGTTCAGCAATATCTGGAGGGCCAAAGGTGCCTTTATACTTGTGGTATAAGTCTCCTTACCCTTCAGAAGATGGGGCAGTAAGGATGAAGCCAAGAAAAAGCTCTGTTCAAGGTGAGGGTGTATCACCTCTTATCCACCCCCCCAAGATCACCCATGTCCCCATTATTCAGTATGCTCCAATATCGCTAATAATCACAGCTTTTTATTTTTAAAGTTTTATTATATAGATCTGTATAAATAAAACCACCTCCTTTAGGAAAAAAAGTCAATAGACTCCAGCCACCCCTTTGTTTCCAGCAGCTGGGGTTGGCACGTAGTGATGCCTAGACTATGGCACTCAGTTGTGGGGGGGGGGGGGAGGAGTGTTTGTGGCAATGTGAGAACAAGAAGTGGGAGGGCGGGAGAGTAGCTCTGTACCCCCAGATTCTTTTGTTTTGCAGGGGGAGAGGGAGATGCAAACAGGTTATTGCTGTGCATACAGTGGGCTTTTCAGCAGGATACAGCGCCGCAAGTCAATCAGCAAATGGTTGCAGACTTCCTGCTTTGCAAAACACCCCCTTGTGCTGTTGTGAATAACCCAGGAGGGTAAGGGGCTTCAGAGAGTGCAAAGGTGCTTCCTGTTCAGCCGTTTCAAAAAGGGAAATCTGATGCAAAGAGTGACAGTATACCCCTCCTCCTCCTCCTAAGGCAGTGGGGCAGCAGGTTTGGCTCAGAGGTTAAGAGGCTGCCCCACCCACAGAGGTTAAGTAAAAGGCAGGTGGGGGAGAGAGGCAGTTTCCAGGTCCAGCAGTAGGAGGAGATCAGCATCCTCTCCAGGTCCATCTTTAGGCTCTCCATCCACCCCTTAGAGAGAGTGAGAGAGAAGGTGGTGTTTTCTCAACACCTGTTCTCGTGTCTTGCGGGCTGCTTGGCTCTGTTGTGGTAGCGGCTCCTCACTCTTTCTCGCGTGTCCACTTGATCATGGTCTCCGGCGAGCGGTAGAGGAAGATGAGCTTGGCGTACAGCTCCTCCTCCAGCTCCAACTCGCCCGTCTCACGGACCAGGAAGATGTCGTGGCACAGCTTAAGGATGCGGTCGACGCAGGGCAGCTCCTCAAACATGATGGAGTGAGAGATCTCACTGAAGAAGCCCCGCACGAACTTGCCAATCACCAGCACGATGGAGACGTAGAGGCCCATGATCCTGGGTGGAGGGAGAAGGGGGTTAGCCAGGGATCCAAGAAAGCAGCAGCGAGCACACGGCAGAAGCCACACTCATGCGGTTCTGCTTTGCAGGCATGCAAGATCACACCTTTGTACGCCTCTTTAGTTTTATCGAGAGCAACCCATACCCATCTGCTCAGAATAATGAAGCTAAGAAATGGCTGCTTTGCTAGTGCATTGGGTAGAAGGGGGGCAGGATTATTATAGCATTTGTCAGCCACTCTATATAATAAAAAGTGTCCCCGAAAATAAAATTCAGCACTTAAAAATGATTTAAGACTAGAAAAATGTAAAGCAGTGGCACGTAAAATACAGAAAATGCTCATCCAGCAACATACTAATCAGGACAAATCCTACCCATGCTACTGAAAAATGATCACCACCATAGGAGGCCATGTTAATTAACCAAAGGCCTGGTTAAATGCAAAGGGTTTAGCTTGGAGCCTCTAGAAGGGTTCTAGGCATTCAATTGGGAACAAAACACTCGGGGAAGATGCAAAGCAGGATGGGGTTGGTTCAGGAGACTGTGTGTGGCCTCTGAAGAGTCCCAGGGGCCAGACAGTCTTAGGGGCCTGTGTTTCTTCCCCACCCCTGTGTCCTAAGGTATGGGCTATTCAAGCCCATGACCTCTGAGCCAACGATTTGCATCAGCGCCAGAGCTTAGAATGTAGGCAACAATTCTCCCATGAATGTAAACAGTTACTCACCCATATCCTGCCAAGAAACCGAGGCTGGGAGGGCTGACTTTGTCGTTGAAAATGACCATGGGCAGGATGTTGCAGTCCTGTTCCTGGCAGTTGGCCAGCCGAATCACCCACCACTCAAGGAAGTTGGCACTGCCGTTCTCAATTCCCACCTGCTGCCGTTTCAGTTGCACCTCTACGTCCCAGTAGCTGTCCTCATCCTCTGGAACGATGGACATAAACTTTGAATGAACAACTCAGGCTTCATAAAGAATGGGTGTTCTCCCATCCCTCCAGCTTAATAAGAAACAGGTGTGTGGGCTTTCTGGAAATGTTTGAACTGAACATTTCCCCAAAGTTACCAATCTGTCAGGGTCTGATTGGGATGGAGGCTGAATTTTGGAATAAGGTGTTTGTTGAGATTTCTAGGATAACTAAACGAACTGTTACTCTGTGTTTGCACTTGGCACTTTTGAACCCGTACATGGAAACAGAACGGAAACAGTCTCACCTGGCAGCATCTGCTCAACAGGTTTGGCTTCAGGGCCGTTAGGTGCACGAATGTAGGGAGGAAAGAGTTTGGGAACTTTACTGGAACAAAAAAGAAGGAGGATCAGAGGAAGCCTTTAAAGGGTGCACAGAGCCACACTCCCTCCCACATGCACGATCCCAACCCCAAGGGAGGGTAGAGTCTCTGCTGCACTCAGGTCCTGCTTGTGGGCTTCCCAAAGGCATCAAGCTGGCCAGTGTGAGACCAAGATGCTGGATTAGATGGGCCCCGTTTGGCCTGATCCAGCAGCCAGTTGCTTCTGATGCTCTTAGGCTAAGCCATGCCAAGGCTCTACTGGGGAAACTCTGGTCAACTGCAAATCATTTTCTCATCCCCACTGTGTGGGGTCGCCCACGGGGTTTTGTTTTTGAGATGGGGGAGAGATTGCCTCCTTTCTTGCAATAAAATCCTTGGGAGTGTGCTAGGAGGGCGTGTGCCACCCCCTCAAACTCACACAAACTCGTTGTGGGTGCCTTGCAGCAGCCTTGCCAAATCTCTCCGCACGTTGTCTTGTTGCCCCAGCTCCATTGTGTGTTTCTCAGAGGTGTACTCCGCTGTTCCTCCTATGCTAAGGTTCCTGAAGGTTTTGGGAGTGGGAGTAATGAAAAGAGGAAGAGACAGAGAGGTATTAATGTTTCAAATCCTTTGTCATCTGTTTTGTCTGAGAATCTCTTACCCATGCTGAGCCTTTGGTGCACTTAAGTGTTCAGAACACACCAAGAAGATAACCCATTAAAAAAATGAGGCTAAAGAGTCTTGGTCAAAGTTAACTAGGAAGACTATTAGGAGATGGAGAACCATCTTCAGCACAGGGGCCGCGTCCCCTTACAGACAAGCTTCCAGGGACCACAGGCCAGTGGTGGGCAGGATGTGAGAGGCAGAAGAGGGCCGAGCAATGAATGTGATTCTCATCTTTGTACCACAGGCTGTATTCCAGCAGGGCTTTCTATGTACCAACACTTCTCCATCTAGGCAAGCAAGAGGCATCCTCAGACTCTTAAGGACACATTCCAGCCAGTCAAAGGCACTTGGAGAGGGTGCAGAACATGCCGGGGAGTGGGAAATTACTGCTGCTTAATTACACTGTGAATTATTATTCACAGCAACGCGTACTGCGCAAGCCATTAGCCTGAGCCAGCAAGGTGTTTCTTGTTGCATGCCCTAGCGAGACACCATAATCCTAAAATCTCCACCGGGACATACCGCTGGAAGTTCCACGTGAAGCGCAGGGTGATGGCAGAGGAGCCATTATGCAGCTCTCGGTACAGCTGTTCCCGGCTGGGTGGGCTGATGCTCCATAGCGAGCCCGAACTGCCCTCAATGCGTGCCGTCACAATATCCTCGTAACTGTAAAGGGTGATGAACTGCATGGCCACCTGGGGGCAGCAGAGAGCGCCAGAGTCAGGGTGGTATGCCACAACATATACACAACCAGTTTACCCATAAAGCCTCCTTTTCTTACACAGCACCAGCACAGAACATGAGGACTGGGAGGACTCCTGCTGCTATGGCCACATGCCTGGATGCAGAGGGGAGCTCTCTTCCCATTCCCAGTTTCCTTAGGAAACTCACCGGCTGCCGCACAAACTCGTTTGTTAACGCATCGTAGTCCTTGGGGGTGAACTCTTGGATTGACTGCTGTTGGGCGCTCATGGTGAAGAGAGGCTGCAAAAGAAAAAGGGTGAGAGGAAGGAGGGGGTCAAGAACTCCTCATGGTCAGCAGAGCCGGTCCAAGCAAACAGCCCTGCCAGATCAGGCAATCTAATCCTGCAGCCTCTTCCTCACAGAGGTCAGCCAGATGCCGCAGTGGGAAGCAGGGCTTGAGTGCATTAGCCGTCTGCCTTCTGACACTAGAGGCCATTGATAGCTTTATCCTCCCTGGAACCAACTACAACCCATCACACATACAGAAATGGACCATGGACCAGTATCAAGTTTTAAGTGATCCAGATGGTGGGTCTGCTAAGGAGTGGACAGCAGGAGGGGCTGTCGGAATGCAGACCAGAATGACCGTATCGTTCAAGCAAGAGAACCAGGCCACGCCATCTGCAGCAGCCTCTCCTGAGATAGGGCCCTCCAGACGTTTTGGATGGCAGCTCAAATCAGCCTCAGTCAGCTGGGCTCGTGAAAGGCTGTTCCGACAGGGTAAGCCAAAAGGCCACCAGGATCTTTTGGCAGGTTTGACCCGGCAGACAAAAACCCTCCCTGCACATGGTAGTCAGCGTGGCTTCTGACCAGTGCTTT